GCTGTTCGGGGCGTCCTGGGCCTGAGCCAGCGGCGCTGCCCGCCCTCCCGCCCGCTCCCTCCGCCGCCTCCGCGCCCCCCGCCCCGGAGCGGGAGCCCTCCCCACGCCGCTCCGCGCAGGTCCCCTCGGAATTTCTCGGAGGCACGTTTACTGCGAAAGGAAGCGAAACGCACAAAGACGCAGGGAGGAGGGAGGAGGGAGGGAGGGCGCGCAGGTGCGGGTGCAGGTCCCATTCGGGGCGCGCAGCCCTGGGCCCCTCCCCTCCCCTCCCGCCCCCACCGGTTCCGGTGGTTCCGGGCCGTTCCCTCTGGGCGCTCTGAGCGCCCCTGACGACCCCCCCCCCCCCAAGCAGCCCAGGACTGCCCTCTCCAGCACACCCGCCCCCCAGGGGCCAGTCCGCCACCCCAGCGGGACATCGAGGCCCCCTGCCGCCCGCTGCGGGCTCTGCTTCGCCTCTCGCCCGCCGCCTCCGCACCTGGACCCTGGGCCTTAACCGCAGCCGCAGCAAACGTGGGGTGGCCCCTTGCGTCCTGCCCCCATTTGTGCTCAGTTGTCCCCGCTGCTGGCCTAGCGCGTCCTGGGGCCCCGACAACACGATGGTACGTTAGACAGACGATTGTCGCCCATGTGTCTCCTGAGATGCGTTCATGGAGCACTTACTGTGTGCTCCAGAGTGGCCGGCAGGCTGGCCGGTGTGACTCAGTGGTTGAGCATCCTATGAACCAGGAGGTCACGGTTTGATTCCCCATCAGGGCACATGCCCCAGATGTGGGCTCGATCCCATCAATGATTCTCTTTCATCGTTGATGTTTCTCTCTCTCTCCCTATCCCGTCCTCTATGAAATCAATAAAAATGTTTTTAAAAAAACGAACCCTTGATACACATCTCATCACAGCCTCACAGCTTCCCTGCTCACCGGCTTGTCACCACTCCCGTCTTACAGAGGAGGAAACCCCGCAGCGAGAGGTCGGGCTCCGGCCCACGGTCACGGGGGACACAGTGACCAGTGGCACCACGGGTGTTGGCCTCCCGCGCTCCTGCTCCGGAGGAGTGAAGGCAAAGGCGGGCGTGGACAGCAACCCCGATCGGGGGCCGGGCTCCTACAGACTGGACAGAACTCAAACGGGAGCTCAAGGTCAAAACCCACAAATATAAGCCTCCGGATGCGATGCAGCCGAAACAGTGGCAAGTGACATGGAAATCCCACCGACGTTCTAAGGGGAAGGCATCCGATCTGGACGGGTTTGCCATCCATGATCGGGAGGAACACTATCAAGCTGACCCTGCTCCCCTGGGAAAAACGGAACCTCTAGCCGTGAAAAAACATTGCACTGAAATGCAAAGGTCAGCAGCAACCTTGGAAGAATTGTGCGAAATGGACACAAGAGGGTTGAGGTATTGTATGGGTTCCTTTACAGGAAATGTCCAGGGTAGAAAAACCCAGCAGAGACACGGAGGAGAGCAGTGCCTGCCTGGGAGAGAGAAAGCAGGGGTCGTGCCTGCAAATGATCAAGGGGGTTCTTTTCCAGAGATGAAAATGTCCTAAAAATACGGAGTGATGATGGCCGCACACGTCTGTGACTGTACTGACAACCACGGAATTGTATACTTTAAAAGGGTGAATTTTATAGGATGTGGATGCTATGTCAATAAACGGCTGTTAAAATAAACTCAGCAAATGAGATAGGCAGCAACTTAGACGCAGATGAAGAGGGAATTTGTGAACTGGAATATAAATCGAAAGACATGACCAAGAATATAGCACAAGGGATAAGGAGATGGAGAATAGAAAAGCAACGTTGGCCCTAGCTGGTTTGGCTCAGGGGATAGAGGTCCGCACATGCTGGGGTTGCGGGCTCGATCCCCAGTGGGGGGCGTGCAAGAGACAGCCGAGCAATGAATCTTTCTCATCATTGATGTTTCTATCTCCTTCTCCCTTCCTCTCTGAAATCAATAAAAAAAATATTTTTTAAAAAAGAAAGAAAAGAAATGTTAATACACAAGAAATAGTGTGCCAAGAGCTAGTAATATCAGTCCCAAAGGACAGAGAGTCAATATTTGAAGACATTATGCCTGAGAATATTCCAGAACTGGCGACGGATCAGTATTTCCAGAGAAGCATAACAGATACTAAGCAGAATAAACAAATAAACAAACAATCCACACCCAGGTACGACATTGTGAAATTGCAAACCACCGAAGGCGAAAGGCCTTTAAACCAGCCCAAAGGGAGGGACCCTGGTCAACGTTAAAGGACTGGCAGCTGGACTGGCATCAGCATTTCAACAGCAACCACAGCCCAAAGCCAGTGACATCATGCCTTTAACGTGCTGGGGAGGAAGCAGCTGAGATTAGCATTGAGGGGAGCAGAGGGCCTTCTGTGGTGTTGGTGGGCCTCACCCAATCAGGTGAAGGGCTGAAGGAACCGGAGACTGACGGCCCCTGGGCAAGAGGGAATGCTGCCAGCAGGCGGCCTTTGAACCTGAGCTGAAACTTTGGCTCTTCCTGACTCCCCTGGCCACACACCGACCTGAAGATGTGGGACGCGCCAGCCTGCATCGCGGCACCAGCCAGTTCCTGATCGCTTATCACTGACCTTGAAGCCATTCCCAAGTTCTCTCTACTTTGTCCAAGACACTGCGGGCCATAAATGGTGCTGTTTTAAGCCCCTACCTTTTGGGGTTATCTGTTATTCGGCAAAAGAGGGGTGGGGCATGACAGGGGGCCTGGCTGGGCATGACAGGTGGAGGGGGGGGGGGGGCCCGATGGGGGCAGTAGGAGCAGAAGCCTGGTGTCCAAAGAGATGTAATGTCTCAGGAGGTGGGGCCGGCCCCTGGGGAATGCAGCTCTGGGCCCCAGAGAGTGGAGACCTGGGCTCTCCCACGCTGGGCTTGGTTGCCAAGGAAACAGAGATTCCTATCCCGTTTCCAAGCTACTCTGCCTCCCTCCCTCACACGTGGGTCAGCCTCAGCCTATCAGGGCTGTGCAAACAGGAATGACAATCTGTCACGATTAGCAACAGAAAGGGCTTTCTTTCAGGGGCGCAGAGCCCCTAAGGCCCTGTGTGGGCCTGGCCCCTGCAGGCGCACGGCTCCTCCGGCCTGACCTCCCTCTTCCCAGCCTGACCTGCCCAGGTGCCCAGATCCTGGCCAGGGCACCGGGATCTTGCCCTGACAGGTGCCGCTCTGGCAAGTTGCCGGAAGCCTGGGGCGCCTCTGGGGCCGTGGCCCACGTCTGATGCTGTGCTCAGGGTCCAGGACCATGGGCGCGCGCGGCCCACAGCACAGCCTCTCCCAGGCGTCAGGACCAGGGACAGTGTCAGAGGCCACGGCTCTCCAGCCATTGGCCAGGCATCTGGGGCTCAGAAGCCCAGAGATCAGATCTCTGGGTCGGGCCCTGGCGGGAAAGGGCCGAGGCTGGGGTCCTGGGAGAGGTGCAGCTGAGCTCCCCACCCGGTATTTGTGGGGTTGCCACCAGATTCCCCCCACTCCTCGGAGACTGGGGCTGTGCCTAGCGGCCGTGTGACGAAGGACTGCTTCCCAAAAGACCGACAGTGTGGCCTCACCGAGGGGCCAGCCAAGGGCCAGCAGGGACATCTGTCACCCGCACAGCACGTTTCCTGCCGGGCTGCCGGGCTGCCGGGCTCCCAGACGGAGACCATCCCTGGCCCCGGGAGGCCCTGGAATAGTGAGGGGTGGGATGTGTGCTGGGCTGAATGCTGGCCCCAAAAGAGACCCAAATCCTCACCCCAGGCCTGGGATTGTGACCTTATTGAAAGGAGGGTTGCCGGCTGGCGGGGCTCAGTGGTTGAGTGTCGACCTATGAACCAGGAAGTCACAGGTTCGATTCCGGGCAGGGCACGTACCCAAGTTGCGGGCTCCATCCCCAGTGGGCGGAGTGCAGGAGGCAGCCGATCCATGTTCTCTCTCATCATTGATGTTTTTGTCTCTCTCCCCCTGCCTCTCTGAAATCAATAAAAATATATTTTAAAAAGAAAGAAAAAAGGGTCTTTGCAGATGGGATTCCATTACGGACCCGGAGATGAAGCCCTGGGGTCCCCATAAGGGAAAGGGGAGGGCGCCGCCTGCAGACGGAGGCGAGGACCTCCCCTCCCCATCCCTTCTCTGAATCATGCTCTCCCCCCGACCCCCGGAGAGCACAGAAGCACCTTGCAAACCTGAGGGTCGAGGGTCGAGGTGTGGAGCAGAGCTGTGGGGACCACCAGTGGCCGTGCTGATGTGGCCGCGGGAGGGGCTGGCGAGGTGAAGCAGAGGGAAGGGCATTGGCGGGGAGGAGGTCGCCGAGGGGCGTGGCCAGGACAGGTGGGGGTGACCTGCCACCGAGAGGACATAGAGGAGGGGGTGTGGGGGGGGGGGTTAGGGGCTGGGCAGGAATCACCCGGAGGGCACCTCAGAGCAAAGACGGGCCCTTCCAGCCAAAAGCACAGAACTCAGAGATTTTCACCACCTTCATCACAATGTGCGACATGCGGAGGGGACAGGCTCCACCGGCAGGACACAGCGTCCTGGGGAGAACGCCGTGTCCGCTGGGGGCGGAGGAACGACTCGGATAAAGACGGCCCGCGGCCACGACGACTCCATATGACTCCATTCTGTGCAGATGCTGCCCCACGCACCCGCAGATCCCAGAAGACGCTGGAAATGCGCGGCTACTGCACCTCACGTTCGCAAGAGCGATGGATGGAAAGAGGGAGCGCAGGAGTCGGTGAAACGGAGCAGCCCGGCAGGGAGCGGGGGGCGCCGGGCCGCGGGGAGGGAGCTGGAGGTCCAGGAGGCAGCACTCGGGGCGTCTGTTTGGGCAGCTCACTGCCCCCCTCCGGGGCCCTGTGGTGCCCACATCTCTGCTCTGGCTTCAGTCTGTCAGCTTCCTCCCTCTCCCAGGTCCTTCAGGGCCCCCTGGCTCCTGGCCGCCCAGAACTGGCGGGGGGGGGGGGGGGGGGGGCAGGTCTGCTTCCCTGGGGCGGGGGGATTCCTAAACCTCCTGGAAGCCTCCACCAGAGGGCTCTGCGCGCCCCGGTGCCCCGCTGCCCCCGTGGTGTCTGGAGCCCTTGAACCTGTGGCTGAGGCGGAGCCCCCTCCCCAGAGCCGACACCCCCTGGGGCTGGGGCGCCCAGAGGAGGCAGATGGGTGTTTGGGGGACAATCTGTGTTGACAGTTGCCCAAAGGAGATGAAAACCTTTGTCCACACAGAACCCGCACACAGACTTATGGCAGCTTTGCCCCTAAGCGTCACCACGTGGAGCAACCGCGATGGGTAAATAAACTGGGTCCATTGGGCAGTGGCCGGTGGTTCGGTGATTCCGGCTCAAAGGGCCTGAGCTGTCAATTCCCGCGACTTGGAGAGACGTACCGCCGGCTCCTGAGTGAAGACGCAGGTCTGAGAAGGGAACACAGGACATGGGTCCAACCGGGTGAGGCAGACCCAACACCAGCGCTGGGGGCACCGTGACAGGACCAGCAGCCGCTGGAGGAAGGGGGTGCAGCCGGCGAGGGTGGGGAGGAGGAGGAGGGGAGCACAGAGGGTTGGGGGGCTGGGAGAGCCCTCTGCATGGTGCTGTAATGGTGGATTCACGTCCTTACACATTTGTCCAAACCCACCAAGCTGGGGCCAAGCGGAGGGACCGGATGTGAAGCAGGGACTCTGGTTACAATGTGTGGGAAGTTCCTCCTTTTTTTAAAGTTTAAGAACTGGGTGAGGGCGGGGATCACTGCTGGCCTGGGCACCTGGGGCTCGGCCGAAGGCTGCTCTGAGCTGGGCACTGGGTCTCCCTCCAGGAAAGGAGGGGCTGGGACCATGTTACCCGTGAGGCCCACCAGCCCTGCCGTCCTAGAACTTCAGACACACTTCCTGCCGCCCCCTCCAGCACCAGCACCAGCACCAGCACCAGTACCAGCACCAGCACCAGCACCAGTACCAGCACCAGCACCAGCACCAGCACCGCTGTTTCTATCTTGCTGACCCGCGGGCCTGGGTGCGGCCCCTGAGGCTGCGTTCCCTCCCGCACTTGCACGTTCCTCTGGAGTCAGACCCAGCGGCCAGTGGGGACACAGACACCCACAGGTCAGGCTGCCCTCCCTTCCGGGCGCTCCACCTGCCTGGAGAGAGGGCTCAGCAGTCCTCCCCAACTCTGTGGGGCCCCCCACGCTGAGGGTCGGGGCACGAGGCACCGGAGGACCAGGCCCCTGGGCTGCGCTGAAGAAAGAGGCAACCGTGGGCTCCATGTCAGCAGGAGTGTGTGTCCAGCTCAGGGGACAGGACCTGCGGGACCGGAGGTGGAGGCTGCAGCCCTGGACCCAGGCCAAGACCCCAGCCCCTGGGTTGGGATTTGCATGGTGCTGCCCAGCGGCCGGCTCTCAGGCGGCCACCAGTGCTGCCTGCCCCACAGCTGAGGACAGGCCAGTGTGGCCCCGAGCACCCTATGTGGACAGGAGCAGGAGCCTGGGGGTAGCGGGGAAGCGGGGTCTGGTGGGCAGCCGGGAGGCGGGGCCTGGGGCAGTCAGGAGGCGGGGCCTGGGCAGTCAGGAGGCGGGGCCTGGGCAGTCAGGAGGCGGGGTCTGGGGCAGTCAGGAGGCGGGGTCTGGGCAGCCAGGAGGCGGGGCCTGGACAGCCAGGAGGCGGGGTCTGGGCAGCCAGGAGGCGGGGCCTGGGGCAGTCAGGAGGCGGGGTCTGGGCAGCCAGGAGGCGGGGCCTGGACAGCCAGGAGGCGGGGCCTGGGCAGCCAGGAGGCGGGGTCTGGGCAGCCAGGAGGCGGGGCCTGGGCAGTCAGGAGGTGGGGTCTGGGGCAGTCAGGAGGCGGGGCCTGGGCAGTCAGGAGGCGGGGTCTGGACAGTCAGGAGGCGGGGTCTGGGCACCAGGAGGCGGGGCCTGGGCAGCCAGGAGGCGGGGCCTGGGGCAGTCAGGAGGCGGGGTCTGGGCAGCCAGGAGGCGGGGTCTGGACAGTCAGGAGGCGGGGCCTGGGCAGCCAGGAGGCGGGGCCTGGGGCAGTCAGGAGGCGGGGTCTGGGCAGCCAGGAGGCGGGGCCTGGGCAGCCAGGAGGCGGGGCCTGGCAGTCAGGAGGTGGGGCCTGGGCAGTCAGGAGGCGGGGCCTGGGGCATCAGCCGGACCAAGCTCTGCACAGACCAAAGCCCGGGAGGCAGAGCTTCCCTTCCACACACAGGCAGTGCGAGCTCGCTCCCCGCTTCATCCACGTCCTGTTCTCCTGGCTCAGGACCCGAGCTGTTTCCTTCCTTTCAGTGCGCAGGCCCCTGCAGCTGATCTGAAGTTTGTGTTTTTCTTGTTAATCCTCACCCCAGATACTTTCCCCCTTGATTTTTAGAGAGAGCGGAAGGGATTGGGGGGGTGGTGGGGGGAGAGAAACATCGATGTGAGAGGGACACACTGACGTGCTGCTGCCCACAGGCACCCTAACCAGGGCCAGGGATCGAACCTGCAACCCAGGTAGTGCTCTTGACCTGGACGCTATGACCTTTTCATGCACAGGCTGACGCTCCAACCACTGAACCACACCAGCCAGAGCTCTTCTGGGGGTTTTTAAGGTCAGTTGAGGGAGATGGAGCTCCACTTCGATAAAGTAAAGGATGTGCGTGGCCGGCTGGCAGGCGGCGCTGCAGGCTGAGGCGTAGGGCAGCGGGTTAGGCTGGGGCAGGGCCGCACAGACCGTGGGCTCCCCAAGGCCAACCACACTGACTTCCCTTCCCTGGGTCCCTGAAGTCCGGGAGGGAAACCGTCCAATTGTTTGAGGCTGGAGCTGGGGAGGGGGGGCAGGGGCCTCCAGGAAGCCCCCCAGCAATGCTCTTTTTTTTTTTTTTTTTTCCCCAGCAATGCTCTTTATCACACTTCCCACGATCCCGGGCCCAGCAGGACAGAGCGCAGATACGCAGCCTGCACAGACCCACACGGACCACAGCCTGCAGACCACGGCCACAGGATGAAGGCGCTCACGGCTGTCCTGCTCGCCCTGCTGCTGTGCAAGCGGCCAGGTACTCGAGCAAGAGGGCCGATGCTGTAGCCAGGGGTTGCCACAGTCCCCGCCCATGGGGACCCGCAGCCTGGGGACAAGACACGGCTTGGGAAGGAGGGCATGAGGCTAGTGTCTGAGGCCGGAGGGAGGTGGAGGGGGCTGCCCTGGGCCCCCACAGTCTCCAAACCTCCCCAGCCCCAGCCCTAGCCAGTCCTGGGGGACACGGGCTCCCCTCCCTTAAGCCCCAGACTTGGCCTCTCTGAAACACAAGCTTTGGGGTTTCCCCTCCAGCCTCAGTTTCCCCCTCTGTACAATGGGCAGGTGGGCAGGCCATCCTGGGGTAGGGGGACTGCTGTCCAGAGCCCGTCACAGCAGCTGGTGCTGTGAGGACGGTGCCCGGTCACACTCGGGGAGGTGAGCAGCTTGGGAGACAGGGCCCACCCCCCACCCCCCAGCTGTGCCCTCTGCATCGAGGAGCGGAGGCTCACGGGATCCCCGCGGCCAGGGAGAGGACAGACACAGGACGGGGCGGAGGACGAGGACCTGGGGCCGGAGAGCTACGATGAGGACTACGAGGAGGACGAAGAGGCCGAGGGGGACAGCGGGGACAGCGGGGACAGAGGTATTGTCCACTGACCCCCGGCCACGGGCATGCGCTTCTCATGCTCAGCCCTTCCTGTGGGCACGGAGTCCAGGCCAGGCATGGGCCTGAGTGATGGACAGACAGGCCTCCTGGGGACCTGCTTCCCAGCCTGGGGGTGCGGGGAAGGAGGGGAGCCCAACACTCAGCGCACCCTCACCGGCACCCTCACCGGGACCCTCGACTGCCCCCCAGAGTAGGAGCGCGGCGGAGCCACTAGGGGGAGGGCAATGATGCTGGGGGGGGGGGCGGGGAGGTTGAGCAGGGGTTCACCAAGCAGAGGGGTGCAGCATGGCCCCAGGATGGAGAGGCCAGGGACACACAGACCCCGGCTGAGTCCCGTCAGAAAAACAGGAGCAGCCCTGGCCGGTGTGGCTCAGTGGATAGAGCGTCAGCCTGTGGACCCAAGGGTCCTGGGTTCGATTCCGGTTGAGGGAATGTTCCTAGTTGCAGGCTCCTCCCTGGCCTGGGCCCTGGTCGGGGCTCATGCAGGAGGCAACCAATCGATGTTTCTCCTTGTCTTTCCCTCTCCCGTCCACGCTCCCTAACAGCCAATGGGGAAATATCCTCCGCTGAGGATGAACAACAACAAAACCCAGGAGAGCCTGGCCCGGGCGGGAGGGCAAGGTGGGGGGACCCGGCCAGGGCTCGGGTGGGCTCCTGCAGGGGGCAGGGAGCTGGAGGGGCTTAGAGCAGAGCACAGAGCACAGACAAGACCCACCCAACCCCTCACCCAGATGGCGGGGCCACCCCTCTGTCCCGCCCACAGGGATAAAGCCCAGGGCATCGCCAGCATCCAGCCCGTGTGGCCCCTACCCCCCAGCATGTCTTCCCCCCTCCCCCAGCAACACACACCCTCCCCGCATTCCCCGAGGCCCTAACACCCCAGGCCTCGGCCAGTGCGGGCTCCGTGGGCCAGCCACCAGGAGGGGGCGGGGCCTGGAGGGAAGAGGCTGCGGGAGTGCAGGACGGGGAGCGGGAGGGGGTGTGGGTGGTGGCCGAGGCTGAGCCCCTGTCCCCAGGGCTGCGGTGCTACACCTGCTCGTCCCTGCACAAGGAGGAGGCCTGCCAGCAGACCCTCCCCTGCTCCCTCAGCCAGCGCTTCTGCAAGGCCCTCCTTTCTCGGTGGGACACTGGTGAGTGGCCCGGGCACCCCCAGGCACACAGCTCTCCGAGGGCCTCCTCCCTGACCCCCTCCAGCGTGATTCACCCTTTCTCCCCCTCTCCCCCCCAGAGTCGGGGCCTCTGACCACCTACTCAGGGTGGTGCACAGACGCCTGCAAGCCGGTGGCCAGGACGGTGGAGGGGATGGCGATGACCATGTCCTGCTGCCAGACCTCCCTGTGCAATGCCCCGCCCTGGCAGGGCGCCGGGCCGAGCGGCCCCCAGGGCAGCCCCGGAACCGTGGCCACTGCCCTCCTGCTCAGCCTGCTCCTGGGCCGCGGGGCCGTGGGATCCTGAGTGGAGCGGCCGTCCCCCTGCCTGGCTCATCCCTGGCGGCCAGCACCCGGCCCAGTATCGTCCTCTCCTGCCCAGTTTTGGAGAATAAACTTGGAGGCCAGCACTGGCTCCTCCCAGCCCACCTACACTGCCTCAGTTTCCCCATCTGCCCTCCTCTCCCTCTGCTGTACATGGAGGGCTGACCAGGCCTCAGCCACTGGCTATGTGCCTGGGGAAGTCCACCTCTCTCCCCCTGGCTTCCTGCCTCCATCCGCTCATCTGCCTCCCATTCCTCTGGGCGGGGGGAGGGGGGGAGAGGGGGGAGGGGGGGAGGGGGGAGGGGGGAGGGGGGAGGGGAGGGTGCAGAGCCTGGGCGGGGGGGGGGGGGGGGAGCAAGAGTAATGACAGGGCTGGAGAGGAGAAAAGGGGAGGCAGGGGTGAGCCAAGGCAGGACTTTCCCCACCCCCTCAGCCCAGTGGGTGCAGGTTGAGGGGAGTGGGAGGAGGTGGGAGGAGCTGGTGGAGAGGCGGAGTAGGTCCGTGGCCTCCTGAGCAGAGGAGCGGGCAGGGGGAGGGCAGGGGGAGGGCAGGGGGAGGGTGTGGGGAGGAGCGCCCAGCCTGCCTGGGCCAAGGGTGGCCCTGTCCCTGGCCCTGTGGGCTCCCCGTGTCTGCACTGGCTGTGCTGAGCTGTGTGCTGGCTGCTACACGCTTGGCTTTCTTTAAAAAATTTTTTAAAATTCATGTCAGAGAGGAAGGGAGCAGGAAGAGGGATAAAAACAGCAATGATGAGAGAATCATTGATCGGCTGCCTCCTGCACGCCCCCCACTGGGGATCGAGCCTGCAACCCGGGCCTGTGCCCTGACCGGGACTCGAACCCTGACCTCCTGGTTCACAGGTCGACGCTCAACCCCTGAGCCATGCCTGCCGGGTGTGCTTGGCCTTCTTGACCGCACCAAACTCGGCTTTCACCAGCCCTGAGTTGTGGGGGAGGAGGCCTGACCTGGGCCTCAGTTTCCCCATCAGAGCAGTTATGCAACAAGCAGCGTAGAGGACGCCCAAATCCCCACCAGCTCAACATCCCTGGGTTGGGAAGCCCAGAGTCCTCATGCCCCCTCGCTGGAAGGTGGCGGGCCCCTTCCCCTCCCCGCTCCTGCCGCAGGAGTGAGGGCTGGAGCTCGGCATCCACCTTGTGCCATGAGGCAGCTCTGACACTGACAGGGCAGCATGGAGGGAGCCCCATCGCTGACGACCGGGAGCTGGTGTACCAGCCCAGAGGGGGGGAGACTGGGTGCAGAAGCCAGTTATCTTGGGTTTCTCTCTCCCTTGCATGGTCACACTCGCGCACACCCCCATAGGTGTGCACACACTTATGGACACTCACAGCCCCTGTTCAGGTGCAGCAGACGGGCTCGGCAGGGGTCACGCTCCCTGGCTCAGATGTTAGGCCACGCTCTCCAGCGCACACGCCAGGCGACCCCCTCCCCTCCCAGGCGGCTTCCCTGCCACCCGTCAGCACATTGACCGGGAGGGAGTCCCTTAGGATCAAAAACCTCATGAGCCCTGGCCGGTTTGGCTCAGCCGATAGAGCGTCGGCCTGTGGACTGAGGGGTCCCGGGTTCGAGTTTGGCACCTTCCGGAACCGCCCCTCAGCTGGCCTGAAGGCGCTTGGCCCGGGGGGCTGATGCTGGAAGCTTCCGGAGCCGCGTGGCCATGGGTTAGGGCTCTGCCCGCAACTCTGATGCTGTTGGAGCTTCTCATTTTCCCTCAGTGACTCAGGGACCCAGGGGCCCTCGCGGCAATAAAGGGGCCTGTCGGGGCCCAGGACGGAGATGCGGACCGGCCTCATTTCCTGGCTGTGACCCTGGGGCTGGCGCCCGTGGGGCGTCCGTTCTGTCCCTCTTCCCGGCACTGGGTCAGCCCGCTGGCCCTGCTCCCTTCAGCGATCCCTCCACTCGCCCCTACTGAGGAGGGCAGTGCCCGCTATCGACAGAGCCTTTGGGCTGAAGCGCCCCTTCCCTGCCTCACCCCCCGCCCCCAAAACCAGCCCCTGGAGCCACGGCAGGGTCCTGAGTCCCCCACCCAGCCCTGGCCGTGGGAGCCAGCTCCGGGGGACACTGTGTTCCCTTCTTATCTGGGCCCGCACGCCCTGCAGATCCTCCTTAGAGACCCCTCCCATCCTCCCCAAAGACTCTGGGTCCCCTTCCTCCCCCCACTCAGATCCGTTTTGTCCTGTGGGGCACCTGCCATTTTCGCTGACCCACCCCACCCAGTCTTGGCTTCGGCCAGCACAGGACGCAGGTGGCCGCAGCGCATTTCCTGTCCTTGTTCTCGACCTTGAGAAGGGGGTGAGCAGGAGGCAGGGTCACCCAAAGCGGGACCTTCCTGAGGACGGAGACTGCCATCACTGCCCCCCCTCACCCCCCCACCCCCACCCCCGCGATCCGACAGCGGGGGCTGCAGGGACAGGACAGGTCGGCGCCCCACGGCCAGCAGGACTCCCCGGAGCAGAGGGGTGACCGCAGGCCTGTGCACATGGCAGGACCCCCGACTCAGGGCGGGTCCCACCGGGGGCGGCTCAGCACCCAGCTGACGCAGGGAGGCGCCGCCCGGAGGAGCGCGCCCCTGGACCAGGGCTGGGTCCCCGGCCTCGGAGAATGGGGGATGGGGAGAGGCGGGCGGGGGCGGGGAAATGAGGAGAGGGTTGGAGCAACGTGAGAAAAGGCTTCACGCGTGGTCCCCCCTCTTAATCACCGCCCATTCTTCCTGCCCGAGATGAGCGGGGTGCAGGGGCGAGTGATGGAGTGCGCGAGGGAGTGAGGGGACACAGTGAAGGAGGGGGCGGGGGGTGAGCGCGGGCGCTGCAGGGGTGCAAGCGGGGGGGGGGGTGCTCGGGGGCGAGTGAGGGACCAGCGGCCCCGACGGCAGTGGGAGGAGCCGGCGGGGGGGCGGAGTCCTCCGCGACGCACCACAGAGAGGCCGGGCGCCTCCCTCCTAGAGCGGCACCGGAAGGGGCGGGCCCGGCGGCGGGCGCTTCCGGCAGGCGCCGCGGCCCGGCGGCGGGGCTGGGCTGCCCGAGGCTGTCTCTGGGCCGTGGGTCTGCGGCCGGGATCGGCGAGGGGGCCCGCCTTCCCCGCCCCGCCTTCAGCCCGGGGCTCCCGGGTCCCTCCGAGGGACTGTGGGCCCCGGACACGGGCCTCCCCGCCTGGGCTCCCGGCGCCGCGGGCGGAGGGCGACGCTGCGCGAGGACCAGCTCCGCGCGGATCCCTCCCGCGTCGGCCTCGGCACGGTCGCTGCAGCCGGGGCCCCACGCGGGGCCCGTTCGCCCCGGGACCTCACAGCCGCTGGGGCGCTGTCTCTCGCTGAGACCCCGGGCCCTGCAGCGGGGGCGGGGCTCCGAGGGGCGCGGTCCCGGGAGCAGCACGGCGACCCCGAAGCTGCACAGCGGGTGCCCGCGCCTCGCCCAACCGTCCCCCGGCGGCCCCCTGTCTGCAGCCTGATCGTCTCCGCTTGGTGCGCCGCGCGTGGAGGAGACGGGAGGAAGCCCATCTCTGCGTGGGGCGCCTGCCAGCCGGAGCCCGGAGCCGGGCGGGCGGTGTCCTGAGCACCGAGCAGCGCCCGCTCTAGACCGGGAACTCGGGGCTCGGGGATGAGAAGGACACGACCCTGCCCGCCCCCCGCGCCCCACAGGGACACGGCCGCTTCCGTGTGCAGAGCGGCCAGAATCCCGCGGGGGGAGCCACGCTTGCCACGCACAGGAGCCCCACGCAGGCCTCCGGCAGCAGGTGTGGGGGCTCCGGACCCGGAAGGACCGAGGGGCATGGACGGGAGCCGAGGTGAGTTTGCACCCGCCCTGGAGGCCGCCCAGGGCGATGGCGCTTTCCTGTTGGGTCTTGATTTTCACCAAATCGAGGCCCCAGCCTTGAACTGCAGCTGGTGGAGTGGGGCTGAGCTCCTCCTCCCTGCCCAGCGGAGACGCCCCCTTCTCTCTGCTCGCTCCCCGGAGCCCAGACCACCGCCCTCCACCCCCAGCGCTGGCTCCCCCCTGGGGCCCCCTGAGCGACCGGCCGGAGTTGGAGGCAGGTGTATCCACACTTCTCCTCTGGAAGAAGCCAGATGCTCAGGCCGTGCCACGCTGGGAAAGCCATGTGGTCCCTGTACGCACTGTGTCCGCGCTAGAGAAGGGGGAGGCCCAGGCATCCGCTTTTGAGCTAACAGAGAATTCAAAGTACTTATACCTTCGAACATTTGCAACTTGGAATATTGTCTCCTAGACCACCGTTTCGGGTGAGACCGCTGCCAGGGTGATGGGCCCCTCGCAGGCAGGGTGACCCCACAGCCACCAGGCGCCCGCGGCAGCGGTGGATTGAGGACCGGAGCCGCGCTGCGGGGCCCGAGGACAGTGCTGCCTCCAGGTCTTGGGTAGTTACCCTCAGGCGCTCACAGAGCTGGAGTGTGAAGGCCCGATGCTGGGATCCGTCGGTGGGCACAGCGGGGCGATCGGGACAGACAGATGAGGAGCTTTTTTCTTTTTTACGTTTTTTTTTTTTTTTTTAAGTTTTATTTTCAGAGAGGAAGGGAGAGGAAGAGAGCTAGAAACATCAATGATGAGAGAAAATCATTGATCAGTTGCCTCCTGCACGCCCCCTACTGGGGATTGAACCTACAATCCAGGCATGTGCCCCCAGCTGGGAATGGAACGCAGACCTCCTGGTTCATAGTTCGATGCTCAACCACTGACCCACGAGGGGGGGGGGGGGGGGGGGACAACAAGCTCCTGGCCTGTCGCTGGGACAGCCGGGTCCTGTTTGAACGTGTGGAACTGGGATGCTCTTAGATGGAATTAGGGAGCAGCAGTACTGGGTTTTCAGACGATGCAAGTGAGACCCTGGGCTGGCCTCCAGGGGTGAGTTAGCTCAGGTGACATGCTGCCAGGAAGAGGAGCTGCGCAGGGAGCAGCGAGTGGGTGCAGGGACGCCGCTCTGAGAAGGGCCCTCCAGCCCACCAGTGCCCGCTCTCAGGGCCTGTTTCCGGAAGCTGCCAGGCACCGGGACAGGAAGGACTGGGCATGCTTGGGGACCTAAAGAGGGTGGATGGATGGAGGGAGTGAGGGGTCGGCCATGAGGTGGGCCAGGTCCAGAGCGGGCAGGAGTGGGGTGTGAGTGAGGGAAGCCCGGGGGGTTGGGCGCTGGCTGCTGTGTGGCATGGATCTCGGGGGAGGGGAGGGCTGGGGCAGGCCTGGGGCAGGGGCAGCCACCAGGGAGGCCACCCTAGGTCCACGCAGCTGAGAATCCAGGCTGAGGGGGTGGGCGGTGCCTTCCGGGAGGGGCTCCTGGCTCCTTCCCCCTGTGGCTCCAAAGGCACGTCCTCTGGTCCTGGATACAGGAAGCGGAGAGGACCCAGGAACTCCAGCGTGGGGTCCGCAGAGTAGGCATGGCCCATGGTGCCCGGCTGGGCCCCTGACAGGTGTGGGACCCGCCTCCTGCAGAAGGTTCCTTGGTTAGCAGCTGAGCAGACGCCCTGCTGTCTACAGCGATGAGGGAACCGGCCAGGGTGAGTGCAGGGTTCTGGGTCCAGTGTCTGGTCGTGTCCCCTTGAAATGCTGTTAGGTGGTCAGGTGGCTGTGCATGAGCAGGGGCGGGAAGGGGCGTCCTCAGGGCCCTCGCCCTCAGCCCTGGGTGCGGGGAGAGCTGCGTCTTCATGGTGCTCAGCCCCGGGGCGGTGCCCGTCCTTGTCCTTGTTGCAGGGCTGCGGCTGGAGCTCTCATTGCCGGTCGGGAAGAGGGCAGCGTGTGCCTAAGGCAGGGCCTGCAGAGGAAGGTTCCAGAGAAAGGCCTTGGTGAGCTGGAGGGCTGCACCCGCCTCACCGGCGCTTCCGCGGTCCCTCCGCCCCGGGAGCAAGAGATGGAGAAGCCCATGGGCGGGCGGGAGGAGGAAGACCCGGAGCGGGGCGCTGCCAAGGACGAGCCGGCGTCCGCGGGGTGGGGGCCCCCCAGGAGAGCCGATCTGGCCGAGAAGCATAGGCGGGAGCCCGGCCGGAGCCCCGAGGACGAGGCCCACATCTTTGACGCCTTCGATGCTTCCTTTAAAGATGACGTTGCGGGGGTTCCCATGTTCGTCCCTTTTCAGAGGAAGAAGCCCTGCGAGTGCGGGGAGTGCGGACGCGTCTTCAAGCACAAGACGGACCTCACCCGCCACCGGCGCGTCCACACCGGCGAGAAGCCCTTCCGCTGCGGCCAGTGCGGGAAGGCCTTCCGCCACAGCTCCGACGTCACCAAGCACCGGCGGGTCCACACCGGGGAGAAGCCCTTCACGTGCGGCGAGTGCGGGAAGGCCTTCAACTGCGGCTCGAATCTCCTAAAACATCAGAAAACTCACACTGGAGAGAAGCCCTACGAGTGCAAGGAATGCGGGAAAACCTTCGTCTACAGCTCCTGCCTCATTCGCCACCGGAAGCGGCACCCCAGGAAGAAGCTCTGAGCGGAGCTGTACGCTCAGCACCTCCCGCCGCCGCCCCGCTGTGGTGTCCACTCTGGCTGTGGCCGCGCACCTGCTCCTTCGAGGTCGTTGGTCTGCAGGCTCTTGGCCGGCGGGTCCTGAGCCCGTGCCCACGCAGCCGCAGGAGGCCGGTGGCCCCGAGCCTGAGAGCAGTGCCTCGGCTGGCTGCGGTGACCATCCTCGGGCTACCAGCCCTTACACTCAGCCCCTGTCCCCGGGAACTGGCCCCCCTGTGTGTCCTCCCGGCCGGCCATCGTCCCAGATAAGCTTCCTGGCTTACCCAGACGGGCCACGTGGGGCACAGCTCCTCGGGCCTGAGTTGCCACATGGGTGCTTCCTGCCGGGCCCCGGGCTGGGGTCCCGGATGCTGACGGCATCTGTGGTCCAGCTGCACCTGCCACACGGGCCCCAGCCACCTGCTGGGTGAACTGCAGGGTGGCCTTTGACCAGGGTCCCATCAGGATCCAGGTTGGCCAGGGGGGCGGGGCTGGTGCTGCTGCCCAAACTCCCCTGCGGACCCTGCAGGCCTGGTTTCTGAGGCCTGAAGTCACTGTCCCTCCGGGCAAGCACCCAGGGAGCCTCAGCTCCAGTGCAGGCCTGGGTCTTGGCACTGGGGGTGCCTGTGTGGGTTCCACGCGCGGCTCCACGTGTGCCCGGTGTCCCTGCAGCCTTACCCACACGCCATCCTGGTTCTCTGTTCCCTGTGTCTGTGCCTCTTGGTGTCCGTTTCCTCGTCGGCTTGTGCACTCGGTGCATCGGCCTCTCCTTCCGTCCCCTGGGGAGAGGTCCGTGCCCACGGACCCCGGGCTCAGTGGCCGTGGCCGTCAGCGCTCGCACACTGGTGGCCTTGGGCTGTGGTGGTGCGGACACCAGTCTGGTGCTTCCCACTGTTGACTCAGTAACTCGTCAGAGTGGCCCCTTCACACCCTCGGAGGGCTTCTCTGCTTCCCGTGGTCGCCTGGCCTGGCGCCCAGCTGGTCTCCCAGCAGACGGTGCCACACTGGCTCCTGGTTACTCCACTGCCCTGCGCTCGGCCCGATGCCTCCTGTCCTGGGCTGTTGGCGCCCGTTTTCTCCCGAAATAAACATCTGTCCTGACCCCTTCCCTGTGTCTGTTGACCTCAGCAGCTTGGGGGTGCAGATGGGATTCCCCAGGGAGGCGCCACTGCCTCCCCCAGAGAAGCTGGCCTGGGCCAGCACGGCCAGAGACCCATCTGGTTGCTGCCTTCTGTGGGTGTCTTGGGGGGCAGCCTCACGTTAACCAAACCCCTAAGAGAGCACATACATCGGAACAGGAATTTGCTAACTGGAGTGACCCCTGCAGTGACAAGATACCGAGTTCCTCTGCAGGCACCACCTTTGTGGCCCTCCCACCTGGGAAACGTGCAGTCATCACCCATGGGGGTGTCTGGGAGGCACCAGGCCAGCCTCCCAGGACCTGGGGCTCCCCGCTTCAGGTCACACCCTTCCTCACTCTGCCTGCCTGAGAGCAGGAGAGGCGAGTCTGCCTCCCAGAAGGGATCGGACAATGTCTAGGAATGTTTGCTGTTGTCACACTAATGGGTGGGGGCAGGGAAGCTGCTGGGATCCCACAGGGCAACCCGGAGGAGGTCAGGGGAGCTGTCCGCAGAAACCTGAGCGCTTGTTTGATGAGATGCCATTCAGGCGGAGAAGCCTGGCAGAGTCCAAGGACAGGGCGACCCCGAACATGGGGCGGGGGTGGGGGGAACCCTGCGATTGGCTAAGTCTCCGCAAGGAGTAACCAGAACCCCCAGTCCTGTCCCCCCCCAGGGCGACAGGGTGGCCGGGCAAGGAGAGGAGGGATAGCAGAGAAGGGAAACTGGTGAGGGTCAGGCCCGCCGCCCTTGTCCACTCTCAGGAACAACACAGTCCGAAACAAGTTACGTGTGAGCTTCCATCACAAGCCTTGGGGGCCATGGGGCCACCGAGGCGGCAGTCCTCCAGGCGCCCAGAGCGGCCGGAAGTGCGAGCGGCCGGGGCGGGGGGCGGGATCACTTCCGGTCTGCTCTGGCGCGGCGGCCGCCTCCGGCTGGAAGGTGAGTGGGCACCTGAGGGGAGCGGGGACGGGTGGCCGCCGCCGCCGACGCCGCGTGACCTTGACCCCAGCCTCGGGGGGTGCGGCTGGTCGCCCCAGAGCGGAGAGGAGGCCTCCGCCGGGTGGCGGCGCACTGGCCCCTGGCGACCGCCGTGTCTGTCTGCGGGCGCCGCCCCACGCGCCCGGACCCCGAGGGACGGGAACCGTCAGGCCCACTTTGCAGACGGTAAACTGAGGCTGAGAAGTCCCCGGTCCGAGGTCCGCGGCCAGCGAGTGCGAGGACCTGACGCGGCTGGGCAGGCTGCTCTGCAGGCAACGCCCCCCAGTCGCCCCCCACCCCACCCCCGCCCCCCCAGCACAGGCTCCGCGCTGGGAAGAGGGGGCGCAGGAAGGTGGCTCCTGGGCCGGCGGCGGGGACCCTGCGCTCACTGCCCGTGTCCCCGCGCGTCCCGCGTGGCAGCCAGGTGTGGGCTGAGCCTGCTCCTCCCCGGAGGAGCCGCAGGACCTACGGGCACTTCAGGGACCTGGGGGTTGAGGACCTGCACCCCGATCTCGTGGCTGCAGCCCCCCTTGTGTCCACCCACCTGGCTGCCCGCGACCCTCCCGTGGTTAGGGATGAGGCTGCCGGAGGCTGACCCCGAAGGTGGGGCCTCCCGCCTCCCGGGGCCGCCGCTGGCGGAGCGCGCAGACTGCCCTCCCGTCCGCCCCCCGTGAGGACCCCCCTCCGTCGCCGGGCCTTGCTCAGCAGGTGAAACAGTGTCTTTGACCCGAGAAGAGGCCGAGCGCCCGGGGCAGGGCGGGCAGGACCGCCTGCAGCCTCCGGGCCGCGGTCGGAGGGGCTTTGGGGGGAAAGTCTCAGTAAGATGCCGCCTAGAGCGTTCAGGCTCCAGGGGACAAGGCTGTTTGCCCCCCCCTCCCCAGCGCCCCCAGGCGGTGCGGGAGGCTTCTCTGCTGGGGGGGGGGACCCCCGGCCGTTTGGGGGACAGTTTTTCGGTTCGGCGTCTGCAGGTCGGCTGTGCTGAGGACGCGGGGCAGCCAGGCCGCACGCACTGGCTCTGGCCGCCTGGTCTCCCTCCCAGCTCCCCTGTGGCCGATGGGCGGCTGGTGTCCCCCCCGCCCCCCCAGTGCATCCCCGCGCCCCTCGCCCTGCCATGCTCTTCATTCCCCAGGTCCAGGCGTCACACCTCCATCTGCCGGGAGATGGCAGCCCCGGGGGACAGGCAGGAGCCCCCTCGCATCCCGCCCCCTGTCACTCTCAGGCCACCAGGGACGCCTGGAACCCACCACCAGGAGGCGCCGCCTCACTTCCACAGCCACCGGCACGGTACTCCCCCGGCACTGCCACCCTGACCCTGCGGGCACTGCCACCCTGACCCTGCGGGCACTGCCACCCTGACCCCGCGGGCACTGCCACCCTGACCCTGCGGGCACTGCGACCCCGCGGGCACTGCCACCCTGACCCTGCGGGCACAGCCACCCTGACCCTGCGGGCACTGCGACCCCGTGGGCGGGACCCAGGCAGCCTTCTGTGTGCGGGGCTCCTGCACCCTCAGGTCCCCGTTGGGCTCCTGCACCCTCAGGTCCCCGTTGGGCTCCTGCACCCTCAGGCAGCGTTGGTTGAGGGGGGAGGGGGGCCACGTGGTGAGCAGTGGTTCCTGGGGACAGTGTCCCGGGACTGTTTCTTTTGGGAGGGGTGTCAGGGGCAAAAAGAACAGCATCCTCAATGCCTGGGTCTCAGATGGAAGCGAGTCACCGCATCTCCCTCCCCAGCCTTTGAAAATGGTGTCCAGAATTCTGGGCCGCTGGAGTGGGCGGGGCCCAGGGGCCTAGCCCCGCCCCCCCCAGGTTCTCAGTTGTCGGGGTGTGGAGGTCGCCGGGAAGGACGCCCAAGCCCCCTGGTGCCCCTGGGCCCGGCTCCTGCTCAGAGGCCCGCCCATGCCCCACGTCCCCAGGAGGCCTGGCCTCGCCCAGGACACACATAAGCTGAGGTCCGGGAGCAGCGGCTGTGCTGAGCGCCAGGCTCCGGGCGGGTCAGAAGCCCGGGGCAGGCCTCTCGGGCACGAACACAGGAGGAAGGTTGGGGCCTGAGGGCACCCAGGGTCAATGCAGGACGGAACCTGAGTTCCCAGCAACACCCTGGGCTGGGCTGGCAGGAGCCTCCGGGCCCCCCACGCCCTGGGCAGGTCCTGGAGGGGTGCTGTGTGTTGGGGGTCATGACCTAGGAGCCGGTGGCTTCCTGTAGGCTGCCGAGAGAGCCCTGGACTGGAGAGGCGGGGAGATGAGCCCAGCCCCCCTGTCCCCCCAGATCCTGAGGTGCTCTCGCAGCCCCCGTGCGAGAAGGATCTGGTGGACCTGCATGTCCAAGACGTGGAGGAGGTCCAGGCGGGCAGGGACGCCTGCTGGCCAGGTGAGTGAGCGGAAGCTGCCCGCCAGCGCGGGCAGGCTCCGCAGCCTCAGCTCCAGGCACCCCCGCTGCCCCCCTCCCCCACGCCGTCCCTCTCCCGAGGCTTCCCAGCCCCGAGTCAACCCGAGCCCGAGCCACCTGCCTGTGGACTGGGGCTCCTCAGCACCACCGCCCCCTGCTGGCAACCAGGGAGGCCCTGGCGCCCTCTCCCGCCTTGTCCCCAGAATCAAGCCGGTTCCCAGCCCTTCTCCCCGCACCTGGCTGGGCTGCGCCGATCTGGGCCCTCCGCTCCCAGTCCCCGCACCTCTGCCCCTGAGAAGCCACCCCCGGCGCCCCGCCCCGCCCCCTCCCAGGTCCTGCTGGTGTCAGGGCTGAGGTCCGGTTCGGGAAGGAGAGCGGTGAGGGGGAGGGGCTGGGCCCTGGAGGAGCCCTGGCGCCGGCTCAGACTCAGGACAGGCACTTCCTTCCGTGGAGGGGGCGCCGCGTCCTCCTCCCGCGGGTCTGGGCAGCGCCCTCGGGAGCAGCGCCCCTGTCGGCTGGGTCCCCCCAGCCGCAAAGTCGGCCCAGGGGGATGGGCTGGTGGGTGCGTGGACGGGCGCCATCCACCCCTCGGCTCCTCATTTCAGATTCGGAGTCGGAGCCCGAGCAGGCGCTAAGGTCTCCCCTGCGGACGGGGTCTCCCCTGCGGACGGGGTCTCCCCTGCCGGACCCTGCAGACGGGGCGGACCAGGGCGGGGCGCTGAGGGCCCTGTTGAGGGGCCTCCCCTGCAGACCCCCGTGTGCGGACAGCTTTGCGCAGGCGCCGGGCCTGGAGCAGCCGGCGGGCCAGCCGCCCGGGCCCAGGTCCTGCTCCCAGAAGAGGGGCGCCGGCCGCAGGACGCTCGTGCCGCCGGGCGCCGTGGGCACCGAGGGCGGCCCGGAGCTGGGGGACTCGGGCCGCGGGGGGCGGCACCGGTGCGAGGCCTGCGGCAAGAGCTTCAGGTACCAGTCGCTCCTGCTGAAGCACCAGCGCATCCACACGGGCGAGCGGCCCTACGCCTGCCCCGAGTGCGGCAAGCGCTTCCGCGGCTGGTCCGGCTTCATCCAGCACCGCCGCCTGCACACGGGCGAGCGGCCCTACGAGTGCGGCCAGTGCGGCCGCGCCTTCAGCCACAGCTCGCACTTCACGCAGCACCTGCGCGTGCACAACGGCGAGAAGCCCTACGAGTGCGGCGAGTGCGGCCAGGCCTTCAGCCAGAGCTCCAACCTGGCGCGGCACCGGCGGCTGCACACGGGCGAGCGGCCCTACGCCTGCGGCCAGTGCGGCAAGGCCTTCGTCTGGAGCTCCGTGCTGACCGAGCACCAGCGCATCCACACGGGCGAGAAGCCCTACGAGTGCGGCGCCTGCGGCAAGGCCTTCCGCGGCCGCTCGCACTTCTTCCGGCACCTGCGGACGCACACGGGCGAGCGGCCCTTCGCCTGCGGCGCCTGCGGCAAGGCCTTCGGCCAGAGCTCGCAGCTCATCCAGCACCAGCGCGTGCACTCGCGCGAGTAGCGCCGGGCTGGGCCTCGAGCGGGAGGGGGCAGGGGCTGCAGCCTTCGCTCCCTTCCCAGCTGGCACCGCACGGGGCGTCCCGAATAAATTCCTTTTCATTGGGAAATCAGAGCTGCTCCTGGGCGAGGCCGTGGGGCTGCTTCCTGTGCCCAAAGGGCCTGTCTCGGGAGGAGTGACTGGGGCCCTAACAGTGCGCTTAGTCTCCTGGGCTCCGGGGGTCTGAGCTCACCCGGGACCAAGGCCTGGAGGGGTCATGACTTACCCGGAGCCACCCCGGCGGTGGTCAGGCACCTCAGGGCGTGTTCGCAGGTGCAGACACCGCGGGGTGCGGGGAGGGCGGCTGGGAAGCTCCCCCACCCCCATCCTGGGTGACGCAGTCCCCTCCCCCCCAGGAAGGGGCCCAGGTGCTCCCTGTGAGCAGGGGTCGCTATGTCCGCCTTGTAGCCACGAGCCTTCCAGTTCTGGGTGGGATGGTGTGTCCACAGCACGCGCCCACTCCTGCCCTGCCGCTTCCTCCTGGAGAGGGCGGCACCCCCACCCCCACCCGTGGCGTTCAGGAGGGCCTGGCCCTCCCACGACTGCAACTCCCAGCCGAGCCTCCTGCTGGGACCCAGTCCATGGGGCCCCTCCCCAGGCCGCACGGGGCATCGTGTGCTTTGGGCTTCCCCACCTGCACCCCGTGAGGCCGCCCAGGGGAGAGGCCTGGAGGCCAGGCTCTCTGACATCAGCTTCAGGGACCAGAGCACCCCCTCACCTCCGCGCGGATGCTGGGCCCTCAGCGCCCCGCCCTGGTCCGGTCCCGTCTGTAGGACCTGGAGTTCAGCCCCTTTGGCCTGGAGAGGGGACTGTGACTGCCCGCCTTCCCCCCACTCCCTCGCCCAGTGCAGCCTGGCCTCCCCACGGGCAGCGGTGGTCAGTGTGTAACGGGAGGGGGTGGGGGGGTGTCACCCTGCAGCCTCAGCACCCGGGCCGGGCTCCATGTCCGCACCACGGCCGGTCTGGCGGCCCTTCTCTCCCGCTCACACCAGTCAGCCAGGGGACCCCCAAGTGAGCGGGGCAGGAGGCCCCCAGCACATCCGACAGCGCCAGGCGCACGTCCGGCCGCCCTGAGGCTCTCCCGGCCGGATCCATCCCCAGCCGCTGCCTGGTTGGTTCTCCATCGGCTCCTGCGGCAGGCTGAGCCCAGCAGGGCGCCTTCCCGGTTGCTCGGCGGGAGAAGAGCCGGCCTGGCCGGGTGTGGAGGACGCAGCCGGGAAGCGGGCGGACGCCGGGTGCGGGTTGAGTGCCTGTGGGCCGGGCCACTGGGGAGACCACAGGTCCCCACGGGGGGTGCGGGGGAACCCATTTCTGCTCTTAGATCGCCCTTGTTAAATGTCTGCATGTTTTGTGTGACTTGTTACAAACAAGGCGGTGCGGTGGGTGTGGAGGAGTCTGCCCTCCTCTCCGGGGTCCCCCCTCCACTAGCGCCGCGTCCTTCATGTGCTCACTGCGCCGTCGGCTCCTCATTCACCCCGGCCCTGGCCGGACGGGGAGCCCAGGAGGGAGGCGGAGGGCTGCCTCGGGAAGGGCTGGGTGCGGAGGCCCGCGGTGGCGGGAGGGCGGGCGGGGTTGCTATGAAGATGGTTGGGCAACAGCTACGGAGGGGCCTTGCACTCAAGCTAGGGAACCGCCTTTAAGACTCAAAGGGTGGCTGGCCGGCCGTGTGGCTCAGTCTGAGCACCGACCCATGAACCAAGAGGTCGCTGGTTCCATTCCCCGTCAGAGCACATGCCCGGGTTGCCTATCCCCAGTAGGGGGCCTGCAGGAGGTAGCCAATCAATGGTACTTCTGTCTCTCTAGCCTCCTTTCGTCTCTCTCTAAAATCAATAAAAACATATTTTTTTAAAAAACTGAAAGGGAGGCCAGCGTTGGGTGCGTGGCCCGCCAGCCCAGCAGCCTCCCAGATAACTGAGCGCAGACTTCTCTGGCGGCCTAGAGCGTCGCCGGAAGTTCCCGCGCCACGGCCTCTACGACCGCTAAATGCACAGTTCTCCGTAAGCCTAGAGCGTCGACGGAAGTGTCGCGCTGCCGCCTCCAGGGCAGCCGAGCGCGGCCTCTGGCGGCCTAGAACGTCCCCGGAAGTGTCTGGGCTTCAGCCTCCAGGGCAGCTGAGCGCAGGCATCTGGCGGTCTAGAGAGTCGCCGCAAGTACCATCGCCGTAGCCTCCAGAGCCGGGGAAAGCACAATTCTTCGGCGTCCTAGAGCGTTGCCGGAAGTGCTCGCGCGCGGTCTCCATGGCAGCTGAGCTTTTTTTTTTTTTTTTTCTTTCCTTCCCGCGGCCTAGAGCGTCGCAGGAAGTGCCTGCGTGCGGCCTCCCGGGCAGCCGAGTGCACAGTCCTCCCGCAGCCTAGAGAGTTGCCAAAGAGTCTGCATCGCGGGTGAAGGGGCTGAGGCGCTTCGGGCTGGCAGCGGGGACTGCAGGTGAGTGGCGACGGGCGGGGTCGGGGACGGCTGACGCGAGGCCGGGGCGCAGGACCGCGTGTCCGTCCTGAGTTCTCGCGGGGAAAGAGCCGCACGTCCGCTGCGAAGAGGGGAAGCGGGAGGCGGCGCTGCGGCCGCGGCCCCCGGAGTGACGGCCGCCAGAGGTCGCTGCGCCCCGGGGCTCCGCGGTGCCTTCCGTTCTTCCTGTGAAATGGCTGCAGCGCGAGGTCCGTGGTGACGGTGGAGGCGCCGTTCCCGTCTGGATGGACCAGGGCTCCGGTGCCGGGAGTCGCGGTGGCCTCGAGGCCTTGGCGGGTCGGCGAGTGGCGGGGACCGGGGGCCCCTCGCTCTGCCGTCACTTTCTCCCCTTCCTCGGCCCGAGCAGGTGTCCCCGCTCCCGAGTGTTTGCGGGCGGGGAGCCGGGCCTGGTCTCCAGGACGCGGGAGGCCGCCTGATGGACACGCGCGCAGGTGAGGGGCAGCCGGCCCGGAGGAGTGGGGGGCTGGCCTGGACGGGGGGGGCATCTCAGGAGCCAGGGCCCCCGAGCCCGACCGCGGGGCCTGGGTAACTAGCCATGGGCACCTCGTTAACTAGCCATGGGGCCTGGTTAACTAGCCACGGGGCCTCACTAACTAGCCACGGGCACCGCATTGACTGGCCATGGGGACTGTGGCCGGACAGCGGCTCCCTAGCCCCGCAGGCTGCTGCTGGCTGGTGCTGGTGCTGACGTGGGAGCAGGCCTGGGCGGTGAGGGCCGGTGCTCTCTCCGAGTCCCGGGTCACAGTGATGAGTGGAACCAGCACAGGGGCTGTCAGGCCGGGTCCCGCGCCTCCCAGCACCTCTGCCCAGCGTGTCCGGCCGATGGCGAAGCGGGCACAGCGGCGCCGGGCCTGTCCCCTCGGCTCCTGGAGTCACAGGGAAGGAGCCCGACTCGCGCCCCCAGTCCCTCCTCCATCCCTGGGAGTCAGACGGGAGGGAGAGCTGGCGGGAGCCACGCAGGGCGGCGGCGGGGACCCTCTGACTGTCCTGTTGCTCCTGGCGTTGCCGTAGCCACCAGGGCCACCTGGAGCTCTCTAGGTAAGTAGTTAACTAGCTGTTTCTCAGTCTGAAGTGGTGCCTCCTGCCCCTCTCTTCCAGCTCCCCCGCCACCGGCGTCAGGTGGTGGCCAGGCTGCTGAGCAGGCAGCTTCGGGAGAAGGGGAGCACCGCGGAGAGAGGGCGCCCGGCCTGTGCCTGGGGCCTCCCCGGGCCTGGGACCTCCCGGGCCGCTGTGGGAATGCGGACACTGGAGAGGGGCCCAGGGAGGCCCCGCGGGGACCAGCTGTTTCTGAGAAAACTGGAGGGCAGGGCGGCCAGGAGGACGGTGTGTCCGGGTCAGGTGGTGCCCTGAACTCGGGCTCGGGGACCAGGCGGCCTTACCCCTGCAGCGCCTGTGAGCGGAGCTTCCGGTGCTACTCAGACGCTGTCAAACACCAGAGCATCCACTGCGGGGAGAAGCCCTACGCGTGTGGCGACTGCGGGAAGGCCTTCATCCACAGCTCGCACGTGGTCCGGCACCAGCGGGTCCACAGCGGGGAGCGGCCCTATGTGTGCAAGGAGTGCGGCAAGGCCTTCAGCCAGAGCTTCAACCTCATCCGGCACCAGCGAGTTCACACCGGAGAGAGGCCCTACCAGTGCGCCGAGTGCGGCCGGACCTTCAGCCAGAGGTCGGACGCCGAGAAGCACCGGAGAATCCACACGGGGGAGCGGCTGTACGAGTGCGGGGCCTGCGGGAAGGCCTTCGTCCACGGTTCCAATGCCGCCCGGCACCGGCGGACTCACCACGGGGAGAGCCCCTACGCCTGCAGGGAGTGCGGCCAGGCCTTCAGCCAGAGCTCCAACCTCATCCAGCACCAGCGGGTGCACACGGGCGAGAAGCCCTTCGCCTGCCAGGAGTGCGGGCGCGCCTTCAGCCGCAGCTCCTTCCTCCGCGAGCACCGGCGCATCCACACCGGCGAGAAGCCCTACGCCTGCGGCGAGTGCGGCCGCGCCTTCCGGGCCCTGTCGGGCTTCTTCCGGCACCAGCGGGTGCACACGGGCGAGAAGCCGTTCTGTTGCGCAGAGTGCGGGCGCGCCTTCCGCCTGAGCTTCCATCTCATCCAGCACCAGCGGGTCCACAGCCGGGAGTGACGGGCCACGTGGGCGGGGCGGGAGCGGACGGGGACACTTCCCACTGAGACTTGTCTTCGCAGCCCCGGTGCCTCCTGAGGGGACTTTCACGCAGCGAAGCTGATCGGCCTCTGACCGCCCATCGCCAACCCCCCCCCCCCCCCCCCCCGCAGCCGTGAGCTCCCCGCGGTCACGTGTCCCTGCTGGTTCGGGGATTCACACTCAGCCCGGCAGGCGCTTGTGCTATTTAAGTATTTATGACGTCAGAGAGGAAGGGAGAGGGCGGGACATCAAGATGAGAGGGAATCAGGGATTGGCTGCCTCCTGATCGCCCCACGGGGTGCAGCCCACAACCCGGGCCTGTGCCCTGAGCGGGAATCGAACCCGGACCTCCTGGCGCACAGGTCGGGGCTCTGCTTGTTTTGAGTTGGTCGGTGGGCGCAGCGTCTGCACTCGGGACTGGACTGGTCAGAGGTGAGAGGACGCGCAGGCGCCGTAACGCCCAGGAGGTCCCAGAAGGTCGGCAGCGCCGCCGGCAGCCAGGAGCACCGGTCGCGGGGGCTGGGCCCCCGGGAGGAGCCTGAGCGGGACCGCGAAGGTGGAGTCGGCAGAGGGATGTGCGCGGAGCGAAGACGGGGCGCTAGACAGAGAGGCGCTCACGGACTGCAGGGCGTGGCTGGGCCTCCGTGGCCGTGGCCGGGTCCCGCTGAGCCCCAGCGGCCTCCCCTGGGGTCCTGCTCACGGTCTCTCTTCAGGAGGCCCCTCAGCCAAGGCCGTCGAGTGGGCCGGGGCAGGGCTGCCCGCGGAGGCGGAGGCGGGGTCAGGGAGGGGCGCCCACTTTGTGCGGGGAGCGGCTGCGGAGACGCGTGGCCCGGCCTTGTTGATCGTCGCCCGAGGATGTGTCCCGTCGCAGAGAGCGGGAAGGGAGGAGGGGCGGACCCAGGACCCAGGCGTGTGCCCGACCGGGGATGGACCCAGGACCCTTTGATTCGAGGGCCGACGCTCTAACCACTGACCACAGGCCAGCGCATGAGCAGTTTCCATGTTTTGTTATTTTATGGGCTTGAGAGAGAGAAACATCGATTTGCTGTTCTACTTATTTCCTTGGTTGGCTCTTGCGTGTGCCGACCGGACCGAACCTGCGGCTTGGTGTGCGGGGACGGCGCCCGCACCAGCGGAGCCGCCGTGTGACGGGCTGTAACGCCCCCCATCCACCCAGAGCCGCAGCTGCCCCCTCCGCCGCAGCACCTCCCGCCCAGGCCCCCGGTTCCGTGGCTGCGCGCGCTCGGCTTTCGTGGTCAGACCTATGAACTGGAAGGAAACTGTCCCCAGCAGGACTGTCGGGCGCCTCCTCCGGCCCTCGCAGCTCCAGGGCCGTGGGCAGACAGGGGCCCGGGCCACAGAGGGGACGGTCCCGGTCCTCCCGTGGCCCCACCTGGGTGTCGTAGCCATCGGGCGCTGCCGCCCAGCCGGGCTTTTTCCGGGGGACCGTCCACCGAGACGGCTCCGTGCCGACGCCCATCCCGGGAGGGCCTCGCCGGCACTCAGGGTGCCCCTCCCGCCCCAGGAACATGAGGAGGGACGCCTGGCTGTGGGCACTGAGCCTCCCCGGGAACCGGCTCGGGCAGCCTCCTCTCTGCTCTGGGAGGCGCAGTGTCCGAGGGGCTCCCGCCCAGCGTGGGGCGGGGCAGGCGGCTCACAGGCCTGGGCACAGTCAGCCCCTTCCCTGCGTTGCCTGACCCGCCCCCTGGGCGTCCTCCACAGGCCGAGCCCTCAGTGGGCTCTACAGGCGCAGCCCGCCCTCCGCAGACCCTGAGCGGCAGCTGGAGGCACCTGCTGGGGGGACGGGGACCTTCCGTGTGACAGCCAGCGCCTCGCCCGGCCACCGTCGACCTCTGAACCGGGAGGTCCCGGTTCCATTCCCGTCAGGGCACAGGCCCGGGTTGTGGGCTCGATCCCCAATGGGGGGCGCGCAGGAGGCAGCCGATCAGTGATTCTCTCATTGTGGATGTTTCTCCCTCTCCCTCTCTGAAACCAATAAAAACATGTTTAAGGAAAACACGACATTTCACCCTAGAAATTCCCGTTTTGCTTGAACAGTGAAGCGCAGGCAGGGCGGCGAGGCAGGGCGAGCCCACTCAGTCCTCGCGGCCTTCGAGCCCAGCGAACTCCTCCCTCTGCGTCTTGATCTCCGAGGCCCCCACGCCTGCGGGGAGCCGGGTCGGGCAGTGCACGGGCGGGGAGGGCTGCGCCCCAGGTAGCGGCTCCGAGTGGGAGGCCCAGGACGCACACGGGTTCGTGGGCCCCACCACAGGAAGGACCCGGCTGACCACGGCACGGACGGAGCTGGGTCACACGGGCGACGCTGGTCCGGGTCCAGGTAGTTGGGCCTGGAGGTGCCCAGGGCCACCCGCTTGCTCTCCACCCGGGCGGTGGCCTGGGTGCTCAGCGCCCACTTCTGCAGGGAGATGGGGACAGGGTGTGGGTTCCCACGCACGGCTGGCTCCCACAGGGCATCTCCCGAGAGCGGGGAAAGCCTCGCAGGCCGGAGCCTGGGCAGGGGGCCCTCTGGACACTCACCTTTCGGACCTGCTGTCCCCCCTGGACTCGGGGTCCACCCTCCCCTCCTCAGCTCCTCCTGGGGCTCCGCCACCTGCTGCTGCTCTGCCTGGATCTGCAGAGGCAGAGGGGCCTGTTGGGCGACTCCTGTCCGCACGGCTCCGCCCAGGACCTCCCTCCACAGGCCGCTGACCTCAGTGCCCTGGGGAGGCCGAGGCCCCCAATGTACCACCTGCTCACAGCCTCCGTCCTGGACCAGAGCCCTGTCTGCACCCACAGCCCCCCGCCCCCCCCGGCCCCGCCCTGGCCCTGGTGCTGGTTCCCAGGAGCGCCCAGAGGCCAGAGCTGCGCGTCCAGCCCACCTCTGCCTGGAGGCTCCGCATGGGCCTCTTGAAGGCGTGGGGGTCGCTGGGTGGTTGCAGAGATCGGCCAGGGCCCGGCTGCAGGACGAGGCCTGAGATGTGGGAGTGGCCACAGCCCACACGGGTGACCGCCCCTCCCGCCAGCACCTCCCGGGCAGCCTGGCACTCGGGAGACCAGGGCCACAGAAGAGCTGCCCAGGGGCCATAACCCAGCCTGGCAGGGACACCACCCCCAGGCTCGGACGCCCGGGGCCTCCGCCCAGGCCCAAAGCGGTGGGCTGGGCAGCGGGCGGGTAGAGACGGGGCAGGGGCCTGAGGGGCTGGGCAGAGCGGCCCCGAGGGCAGGCCCACAGATGCCGGGGTCCTGAGGGCACCCCTGACCCTACTTGGCCCCGAGCTGGACAGCCCCTCAGGCCAGGCGCTGCCCTCCCCCTGGCACGGCCCACGGTGCCCCAACGCCACGGCGGTCACCTCGGGTCAGGGCCACAGTTGCTGCTGAGGGTGGCGCTGGCCCTGTGGGTGGGACGCCTTGGGTCAGGCCGCCCATCAGCTCCTGCAGGTGCCTGTTCAGGCTGCTGGTCTGGGCGGGGGGGGGGGGGGCCAAGTCTAGAATCATTCCCTCCGGATGTTCCCTAAAACCTCCCCAGCCTCCCGCCCTGAGTGTCCAGGCAGGCAGGGCGGGATTTAGCCACGCCAGTCACATGAGTCACGGCTGGTTTTCGGTTTTCGTGGCACCAAGTTTTTTAAGAGCAAAACCTGCCAGCTTTCCCCTCAGGTCTTTGTTCTCCGGCACAAAGGAGGCCATTTACACTGTCACCCAGGCCGAGGCCGCACGGAGGCCAGCGCTGTGCGGGAGGCGGGCCGCGGAGGCCAGCGCTGTGCGGGAGGCGGGGCAGGGAGGCCAGCGCTGTGCGCCTGATGCCTTTTCAACGATTTTTGGTTCTGTTCCTTGAAAAAGAGGTGGTTGCCTTGATCATTAGGTTTATGAAGGTTCCGGACAAGATCACTTGTTTAAAACAAAACAAAACCACGGGGGGGGGGGGGGGGGCGGGGAACAGTCCTCCAGACACTGGCCTCCCATCGCGGGCGGCCGCTCCGTCACCTGCGGCCCTGCAGTCCCGCGGGCTCTCGCCTCCGCACAGGCCGGCAGGTCCCGATTCCACTGCGCAGGCCAGACTCCGAAAGACGGAGGGTCGGCCACGGAGCCACGCCGGCCAGGCTCCGTTGCCTTTTGGAGGTGAGGGGCTCACTGGTTAGGGCGCAGGGAGGCCGAGGGCTCGGGCCTTTGTCCAGGGGGGATGGCAGCCAGGTGGCGGCAGCGGATGGAGGGGCAGGAACAGAGCCTGGCCAGGTGGGCGGGGCTGCCCTCTGACCCTGAACCCTTCCCCGGACAGGAAACCGCGCCTGCGGGTCCGTCGGGGACACGGGGCTGTTCCATTCCTGCCCTGACTTCACAGCGTGGTGGTGCGTGCGTCCCGGCCTTTGTGTGAGGTTATTAAAGACGCACTTTCCTGCCTCTGAACAAATGGGGGGGGGGGGGCTGTGAGGGTGAGCGATGGCCGCAGCCTGTCAGGTGGCGGCACCTCATCCACAACGGCGCCCGGATTCACGGCCGAGGAGGCCGAACCCATTTATTCAGAGCAACACGGGGACAGCCGCCCAGGGGGACGCCGCGGCAGCATCCATCACACGCTTCTCAGAAAGCCCACGTCAGCACAGCGACAGCGGCATTACCGCCGTCACCGAGATTAAAGATTAGTCACACGTGGAAGACGGAGCGGCCGCTCCCGAGTGAGGCCCCTCTCGCCCGGGGAGTAAACGCTGCACGTCTCCTGATGAGCTTTTCGGGGCGCTATCCAGGTGGTCCCCCCGCGGGCGAGGCCGCTATCCCCGTGGTCCCCCCGCGGGAGAGAGCCCTGCTCCCTGGACTGGCTGGGCAGGTGTCAGAGCCATTCTGTCAATCACATCCACCCGCCGGCCGCGAGGGGCCAGCAGTGACGGCAGCGTCACCCCTCACATCGATGAGACTCAGAGCTGCCTTCCTGGCTCGGGCCACAGTGAGGAGCCCCCGGAACGGAGCCTCCCCTTGGACGTGCCACAGGCCACCATGCGGGATGCTCACCCCAGGCCCCTCTCCCCCTGCAAACCCTGCTCAAACCCAGCCCCCGGCCTTCTGAGCAGCCACACACCCCTGCCCACCAGGAAGCCCCACCCCAAGCCTTGGTCCCTCCTCCTCCCTGCTCCTGGGCCTCTGGCCTCCCTCCTGGGCCTCTAGCCTCCCTCCTGGGCCTCTAACCTCCCTCCTGGGCCTCTAACCTCCCTCCTGGGCCTCTAGCCTCCCTCCTGGGCCTCTAACCTCCCTCCTGGGCCTCTAACCTCCCTCCTGGGCCTCTGGCCTCCCTCCTGGGCCTCTAACCTCCCTCCTGGGCCTCTGGCCTCCCTCCTGGGCCTCTCTCAGTGGGGGCCTCCCTCCTGGGTTGCCAACACCCAGGAGGAATCCACAGGAGCGTGTGCACCCTCCCATACCATGTGCCCACCATGTCCCGCTCCTCGGCCTTCTGTTCCTGCGGCCAGACTGCAGCTGTTAAAGGCCAGCGACCCACCCCACCCCTGGCCTTTCTCTGGCCCCACAACCAGGTGTCCCCTAGAGCAGAGCTCCCAGATGTGGGCGGCCTCACCTGTGATCCTGAAGCAGCCCTTTGTCCGCACTCCCCACCCCCAGCCAGGCTCTGTCTGTAGCCTCACCCCAGCTCGGCCCCTGCCCCCTGGGAGCCCCGCCTCCCCAGCCCCTTGGGGTGCACAGAGGGTGGGAGGCCCGTGGTCAGACCAGTCCCAGCGCCTCAGGGTCTGGGAGGGTGCAGGGGGGGGGCAGGGGCTGCCAGGTCGATGGAGCGCTGAGCACACAGGCTCCCCCAGCCCCTCCTGCAGGTCCCCGGGCAGGGCGCCCGGACAGAGGGGCCTTAAGGCAGTCTCTTCACTTCCAAGTAGCTTTTAATTTTTAATTTTTATTTTTGGTTAATCCTCACCCGAAGGTATTTTTCCATTGACTTTGGAAGGGAGAGGGAGAGACAGAGAGAAACATCGATGTGAGAGGAACATCGATTGGTTGTCTCCAGCACACGCCCCAACCAGGGCCGGGGATCTGCAACCGAGGTGCGTGCCCTCCACCGGAATCGAACCCAGGACCCTTCAGTCCACAGGCGGACGCTCTAGCCACTGAGCCACACCAGCGGGGCCATTTCCGAGTAGGTTTTGTGTTGTGCCCACGGCAAGCCTGGCTCCGGTGGCACGCCCCCCCCCCCCCCAACTTGCCCTCAAATAGGAAGGAGTCTGCACTCTGTTCTCTGGCCGAGGCCGCAACGGACCTGGGATTAATGGCCGGTCTCCCGTCTCCGGCAGCAGGCGCATCTGTTTCCGAAGGTGGTTTCCAGGTGATGGCGGCTTCCTCGCGACACAAAATTGTTGACTGTTTCCAAACAATTCGTGGGTCTGTCCTGCTGACCCCCCCGCCCTGCTGACGCGTGGCGACGACCACCATCGGTTAAGGCTCGCGGCGCCCATGGGTCACCGCCCGGCTGGCCTGCGTGCTCCCCTCGTGCAAGGCCTTCCAGAGCCCGGATCTCTGTGGCCCTCGCGTGAGCACAGTGGGGGGTGAGTCTGGCTTCCCCGTCTGCACCTCGTTTTGAAAAACGTGAGCGGGAACAGTGGGCACCGAGGCCCCTGGGATGGCGCCCACCGCTGCCCGGCTGGGCGGACACTGGGCTCCAAGTACCAGGAGCCCAGCCCCAAGGTCTGCGCGAAGGGAGGTTTGCTCTCTCGCAGTCAGAGGAGGAGCAGGGCCAGGACTCTCTGCCCTCGGCAGGCGCCCCCCTCACCCTCACCCTCACCCCCACCCCCACCCCCACGTCACAGGCAAGACGGCAGCCCAGGCCTCGGGGTCTCACCCGCCAGGGCAGCGTGTGGGGCTGGCGGGCTGGTCTCCCCTGTGGGGCTCCCCCAGGAGCCCCCTGGACTCCCCTCCTGGCCACTGGCCTAAGCCGCATCCCAGCACCCCCCCTCGCCCCCTAGACTCATATTGCAATTGTGCGGGCGGCGCCGGGCCACCTGGATACGTTACTGTGGCGATGAGAACCGCGCAGCCGGCAATACCCTAGGGTTCCTCTTCCCTCCTGCACAGCCGCTCCTGTTCCCCTGTGTGTCCTGGCCAGGCAGGCAGAGGCGCCGCGCTCGGGATCCAGCTCTGGGGAGGGAGGCAGATCGGGTGTGCAGGGCCCGGCGGGGGCGGGGGGGGGGGGCCGGGCTGGAGTGTAGAGGGAACCTGATAGACTGAAGATTAGCTTCTGCGCCGGCTCCGGTGCTCCTGCCCCTACAAAGGGTGTGCTCCGTGGTGAGGCGGGCTCCGGCGTCACCGGAACTCGGGGAAGTTAGGAGGGACCCGGTGGAGGCACAGTGATGGGGCAGCCCACAAGGGCGCAGGTTCTGGGGAGTTCCATCCTGGAAATGGGCCAGTCCGGCTATCAGCTCGGAAGTAGGCTGTGGACTTGTAATGGTTCTGGAAGCAGGTTCCGGAGGCAGGTTCTGGGGGCGCGTTCGGGGCGCAGGACGCCGGACCTGCAGACACCCGCCCCGGAGCGGGAGGAGGAGCATTGTTTACCACCTCGCTCCAGCGCTCGCACCGTTAAACACGCCACGTGCACATTTGTGGACAAGCCCCTCGGAGGGTCCCTGTGGCCGGCGGGCGGCATGAACCCGCGCGGGGCCAACGTGGAGGCTGCAGGGGAAGGGAGCGGCCGGGACGGGAGCGGTTAGCGAGTTCCACGTTCCGCGTTATTTTTTCCTTTTCCCCTAACTTCTCGGCGCACTCCGCGGCCGCTCGCGCACGCGCACTGCGCGCCCCGCGGCCCAGCCCGGTGTCGGGCCGGGCGGTTGCCAGGGGCGACCGCATTCCCCCAGGACTCCGCGGGTGGGCGGGCGGGGCCTGGGCGCCCGGAGCCATCTCCTTCGCTCTCTGGTTGGTCGAGGCTGCTGTCCGTCGGAACCGCCGCCGTCGCCGATTGGGCAGCGGAAAGTTTCGCACGCTCGGCGCGGGCCGCCACACCCCTCCCGACGCCGGGCCCGCCACCCGGGGAGACCACAGTGCGGGACCCGACGCGGCGCCCGGGAGGGACCTACGCGGGCCTCGGCTTCCAGGCGGCGCGGACCGAGCGGCGGGCGGCGATGATCCCGGAGGAGAGGCGAGACGGCCCGGGCGCCGGCGACGAGAGCCCTGGGCTGCAGGCGGCCGACAGCGTCCGCAAGGTGGGCGCCCGGGGAGTGGGGGCGCCGGGAGGAGGGCGCCCGGAACGGGCGGGCGCGGCGCTGGGTCTCTGGCGGCGTTGCTCCCTTGTCCGAGCGCAATGCAAGGGAGACTCCCGCCATCCACAACTCGCTCGCCCCAAAAGGCAAGCTGGGCGCACTGTTGGGGAAACTGAGGCCCGGAGGGCAAACCCCGCGATAATTGCCTGCGCTGGTTGCGCTCTCGCCGGGCCGGGATCAAGTGCTGGGGAAGCAGCAGGAGGCCCCTCCCGTGCGGCTCAGGGACGGGGAGAGCGCCGTTCCAGCTCGCCGCTTCCCGGGCGCCCTGTCGGGCCGGGGCTGGGCTCCGGTCGGTGACAGCCCGCGCCTGCGTCTCGCGCCGGCCATTGCGCCTTTCCTAACGCCCCTGTCCCCGGGCCGCCGGCCTCGCGCTGGGCACCGGCGCGGTGTTTGCTGACACTCGGAGCTGCTGGTGGCTGAAGCCTCGCAGGTACAGGAAACGGCCGGAGTCACAGGCGGGAGCGCGTCCTTCCGTCCTTTCCCTGCGCACCCGCCCCGTGGAGTCCTGGGCGCTGGACTGTGGACCGGTTCCAGGAGCGCCGGGAGGCCCGGGAAGGGCGTGGGGCGGGGACCTGCCCCGATGGGCCTGGGAACGGGCTGCTCTGGCGGCCTCGCTCTCAAGCACAGACGCCAGTGTCGCCTGCAGAGGTGCTCGCCTCCCTCTCCCAGGTCAGGCGCGCGGAGGACCCGGCTGCTCCGTTCAGCTTTGTGTGCTGGGGCCAGGCCTTCCAGGGGCGAAGGGGGTGTCTGGTGGGACCTGGGGCCCAGGTTGGCAGCCACGTGATGCCGACCAGACCCCGCAGGGGCAGGCCCTCCTCACCCCCAGGAGATGCCAGGTGCTGTGGCAGCTACGTGTGGGGAGCACATTGGGCCCTGGTCCCAAGCGTGGGCACTGCCCTTGGTGACCCCACTTCCCGCGGCCCCGGCATGTGTTGTCGGATGGAATGTTGGGGAGGTTGCTCACACACGTGTTCCAGAGGGCTCTCTGCCCCAGGGCACCCTGGGAAGGCGCGGAAACTTCCCAGCCTCCTCTCGGGGCGACCCAGCAGCCCAGCGGCCAACTGTGCAGGGAGGAGGCGCTGGGCTGGGAGCTGGGCCGGAGGAGGCGCTGGGCTGGGAGCTGGGCCGGAGGAGGCGCTGGGCGGCCCTCCCACACTCCTCTGTCCTGTTGCCCCGGCGGCTCCTGCTCCCTGGAAGGTCTGACCGGACCCCTGTGGCCGGGGTGGAGGGGGCTGGTCCCGGTACGGTCACAGGCTCGGAGTCAGGACAGGGCCGCTGGCCAGGCCCAAAGCCACGCAGGAGCACTGAGGGCGGCGCCAGCGGCTCCCCGGCCGGTGTCCAGTGGGGACTCCCCAACGCCAGCCAGGGGCCCAGTTAGCAGGGGCTCTGGGAGTGGGGACGTCTGAAGGCACCAGGGGCCACCAGTGCCCCAGTGAGCCTCAGAGAGGGCGGGGGTGTCACCCCGCTGGCCGCAGGGGCCTGGTCTGTGGTCCATCTGTCATGTGTGTGGTTGCAGCCACCGTGTTCTGGCAGCCGTGTGGGGGGTGGGTGCTGGGCCCACTCCTTGGGGTGTCCAGATCCTCTGTGTTCAGGTGAGACCGAGGGAGGGAGGGGGGCCCTGAGGGGGGGGTGGGGGCTGATCTGCCAGGCGTGAGGGCCTCTCCCTGGGAACCCGCGGAGCCGGGAGCCTGGGCAGGGCGGGGACCTGCTGTTTGTTCCAGCGGCCTGTGCTGGCATAACTGTCCTCCAACTGTCCTCCCCCCCCCCCCCCCCGCGGGCTGTTTCCTCCTGGGCTGCTGGGGCCACAGGCCCAGGGCTTCCGGGCAGCCAGAGCCGCCAGCCCGGTCATGTCAGGGCCGCGGCAGTGGGTGTGAGGGGGTCTCTTCCCCGTTCTCCACCCTCTGCACCCGCTGGGCCCCGGCTGGGGGATGCTGGTCACCTGGCACCTGCGCCCCCTTCCACAGCAGACCCCTACCCCCGGGGCCAGCTCCACCCGGCGAGGGCGACAGGCCTGAGCAGGCTCTCCATCCGTCCGTCCGTCCGTCCAGCAGCGGAGGTCAGGTGGTTGCTCCGTCCCACGCCGCCCCCCGCTCCCCAGGCTCCAGCCACTGGCTTGGCGGGAGCGTTAGGGTCCAGGTCGTGAGGGGTGCCCCCGAGCTCAGAGTGGGCCCGGCTCGTCTCTCTGGGAGCCCCGGACACAGAGACTGCAGGACCGTGTTGGTGAGGACAGCCCTGCTGATCCGTGGCCTCTGCCCAGCACAGGACCCCCACCCGGGCAGACGGCCATGGCCGCTCACCCCGAGGGCGGGGCGCCTTGGGGGCTCGCAGTCGGAGCTTCAGGAGGAGCGGGATGCAGCCTGGGCTCTGCCCCCGCCCCAGGCCTCCTGCACGGAGGGGGCACGGTGGGCGGTATGGGGCGGAGAAGAGGCGGCGGTCAGCAGGAAGGCGGTCAGCAGGAAGGCACTCAGCCGGCAGAGCGAGGGAGGAGAGCGTCTTGTTCCTCCTGTGTCATCCTGAGACCAGCCGCCCCGTCTACAGATGTGGCCCCAAGACCCGCCATGGGGAGTCCCCTGCCACCTCTGCTCTTTCTCCCCAAGTTCAGGGAGGGACACACCCCCTCTCCCCAGCCTCCTGTCCTTCATGTCTCAGAAGAGTGCCTCCTCCTACAAGAAGCCTTCCCTGATTGACCTGTTGAGAACGCTGGAGTCTGGACACATTGGGCGTAAGCCCAGGTGGCTGTGCGCTGGCAGCCTTTGCCATGGGAGGGGAGAGGGTGCGCTCCTGTGCTGAGCCAGCTGGAGCCCGGAAGGTCTGACACTGCCTGTGCGGGGGGCGTCCTGGGGTAATGGGAGACAGCAGACACAGCAGGCGGCCGAGGCCGCGCAGCAGGAGGAAACCCTCCCTCTGTCCGCGCCCCTGGGGCAGCGTCTTCGTTCCCACGCTGGTCAGAGGTGGAGTGAGCGCCCATGTGGGCGTCGGCCGGGGAAGGTGGTTCTGAGTCCTTCCTGATCCCTGGCTGCAGACTGACCCCACGGGAGGTCCCTGCGTGGCCAGGAGGAGGCACGGTGGCCGCACGTCCCTGCTGTAAGCTGCCCCGGCTCTTCACTGCGGCCCCAGACGCGGGCAGGCTGGCACCATTGCCCGTAGCGTGAGGAGCCGCAGCCGAGGTGGGCAGCGGGCAGTCAGGAGGCCTGGCTTGCTGCCTGGGAGCGAGCGACCCTGTGCCTGTGGTTGGGGCGCTCACCAAGGGGTCCCCACGAGTCATCAGCTGGAACGGAAAGCCCAGCAGAGCGTTGAGGGGCGGCCCGAGAGCCAGCCTCCAGGCCTCGGTCACTGTCCCCGGCCCCTCCCGGCCTGACGGCGCTAGAGCAGGCGTGTGAGGGGCTGCAGGACGAACGTCCAGGAGGACGCGTGGTGAACTGTGGCTGCCTCCTGCCCGGGGCCCCGTCACGTGACGGCCGCGCCCACCATCAGCCCAGCTGTGTCCCACCCCCACCGAGTCCCTCCAGCCCTCAGCCCTTCCTCCCGGCATCACCCTCTGAGCCCAGGCTCCACGCCAGGTGGGCCGGCTCACCCCCTGCCCCACGAGTGGGGGACCCCTGGCCCGGCCTCAGGGTGCTGAGCCTGTGACCCGTGGCCTCCGTGCAGGGCGGCGACCCCCTGGTGCAGACGCAGCCAGGCCGCCTGCAGAGCCGCAGGGCCCGCGTCCACCAGCAGATCAGCAAGGAGCTCCGGATGCGGGCGGGCGCCGAGAACCTGTACAGGTGCGCAGGGCCCGCGGGCAGAGGGCAGGGCGGGCCCCATTCCTGCCCTGAGCCTGGCCTTCCAGGGTCCCCGGCCCCTCTGGGGGCTCCCAGATGCAGCACAGAGGTCTGACCCGCTCGCCCTGGGGAGTGGGTTCGGAGTGTCTGCCGCGGGCATGGCCTGCGCCTGGGGGAGGCAGGGGGGCGGCCGTGCCCTGGGGGCCCGGGGACAGCCAGGACATGCTCGCGAGGGCAGGAGTCTGCATAAACCGCCGGCGACTCGGGAAAGGGGGCCTGGACCCGCTGCTGCCCCCAGGAGTGGGCTCTGGAGCGGGGACTGGCGAGGCTGCAGCGTGGTCAGGCCTGCGGCCCACCCACAGGGCTGGCCTTGACCTCAGCCCCCCTTCCCAGAGCCACCAGCAACACCCGAGTCAGGGAGACCGTGGCCCTGGAGCTGAGCTACGTCAACTCCAGCCTGCAGCTGCTGAAGGAGGAGCTGGAGGAGCTGGACTGCGGCAGCGACGCGGACGGGCCCGGGAGGTGCGAGTGCACGTGGGGTGTGGACACGGGTGTGCGTGTGCGTGTGATGTGGGAGGTCCGTGACCCGGGCAGCCTGCGGCGTGTGTGGGTGTGCGGGGACGCCTCTCAGAGTCGGGGGGCTGTGGGTGTGCCACGGGGTGCCGGGCCAGCCCCAGGGTCGGCACTCGCTGCTTCTGGTTCCAGTGAAGGCGTCACTGTCCCCCTGATCCCCCTGGGGCTGAAGGAGACGCAAGAGCTGGACTGGTCCGCAGCCCTGAGGGTGAGTGCGGCCTGGGGGCCGAGGGGGCGGGTCATGGAGGCTTCCTGGTCCAGCGTCTCGATGGACAGGCAGGGAAACTGAGGTCCGAGGGGGGAAGGCCTGGCCTGGGGATGCCCACCTCCCCCGCTCAGGGCTTCGGACTGCGAGGCTTTGGAGAAGAGCCGCCTGGGCGGGCGCCGCAGAGCTGGTCCTCCTGCCCGGAGCCCCAAGATGTCCCCAGGGTCCCCATCTCTCGCTCTGAGGGTCCCACAGCCAGAGCCTGTGGTGAGAACCGATTGGTCCCCCATCTTGTGGGGGCTCAGGAGCCGGGCTGTCCTGTCCAGCTGGCCACTGCCTGGCAGGCCCTGTGCAAAGGCGCCTCCATGTCCCCCTGTGGCCTGTGGCACCTGCCCCCCGGGGGTCAACACAGGAATTCAAGCAGAAACAGCCCGGAGCCTCTGGGCCCATGTCTGCGGTGAGGGGTGGCCCTTCTCTGGGGCTGGTGCCCCCACCCCCCCACCGTCTGGGCCTCCCCACCCCCAGTCTGGGTCTCTCCCACGCGGGGCCGGGAGACTCCAGGCAAGGCCATTCCCCCCCCCCCCCCCCCCCCAGGAGCTGATCTCTGAGCACTTTGGAGAGGATGGCGCCACCTACGAGGCGGAAATCAGGGAGCTGGCCAACCTGCGGCAGGTAGGGGGCCCCGCCCACCCCACAGGGAGACCGGCCACACCCAGTGACCCCAGAGGCTCAGTCCCAACAGCAAAATGGAGCTCACTGTGGACTCACCACAGGGCAGCCCTGGGCAGTGGGGACAAGGCTCACTGTGGGCTCCCACGCCTGCCAGCGCCCTGCACCGGGCACTCGGCCCTTAGGGCAGGGCTGCTCCATGCCTGTCCCTCCCGTGCCCTTCGGTCTCCTGGGGCAAATGTGAGGCCTACGACAGCCCAGGAAGGACAGACGCCCAGTGTGGCCCCGTCCGCTCCGGCCCCGGCTGCCCCTGGGCTGTGATGTCCGAGGAGGCTCTCAGGGTGGGGTGCAGGCGGCTGCCCGGAGGGTGGGGTCAGCTGCTCCCTCCCGCAGGCCACGCGGACGCCCAGCCGGAGCCAGGCCGGCCTGGAGCTGCTCATGTCCTACTACAGCCAGCTCTGCCTCCTGGACGCCCGCTTCGTGAGCCCCGCCCGTGGCCTGGGGCTGCTCTTCCACTGGTAGGGCCCCGCCTGCGCCCACCTCTCAACTTCCGGGTTGTTGCCTCGGGCTCCACCCAGCCTGACCCCACCCTGCAGGTACGACTCGCTCACGGGGGTCCCGGCCCAGCAGCAGGCGCTGGCGTTCGAGAAGGGCAGCGTGCTCTTCAACATTGGGGCGCTGCACACCCAGATCGGGGCGCGCCAGGACCGCACCTGCCCCGGGGGCGCCAGCCGTGCAGCCGAGGCCTTTCAGAGGGCGGCAGGTGAGGCAGGTGCCCGGGTCTGCGCGTCCCAGAGCCAGGGTGGGTAGGACGGCCCCCAGCGAGAGGGGCTCAGCCTGTACCCCTGTGTGGGGCGCTCAGGGCTGAGGGGTGCGGGCAGCCCTGCCCTGCGCTGTGAGCACCGCCGTTGCAGGCGCCTTCAGCCTCCTGCGGGAGAAGTTCTCCCACGCGCCCAGCCCCGACATGAGCCCTGCCTCGCTCCGCGTGCTGCAGCAGCTCATGACCGCCCAGGCCCAGGAGTGTGTCTTCGAGGGTCTCTCGCTCCCGGCCCCCGCCGCCCCCCATGACTGCCTGGCCCAGCTGCGCCTGGCGCAGGAGGCCGCCCAGGTGAGGACGGCGCCCCTATCAAGCGAGGCCTGAACAAGCACCTTGGGCCCCGGCCAGGCCTGGTCAGCTGCCAACTGGGTGGGCAGGGCCTGGAATGGGGCCGGGGCGGTGTGCGGGGCTGCGTCTCCTATTGGTATCTGGTCCCTGGGGGGCTGGGCGGGACCCAAGGTCCTGAGTCCAGCTCTGGGACAGCACTAACCAGAACAGGAACTGGGAGCACAGACCTCAAGCTGGGACCCGCATGGGCCAGGGCCGGTGGAGGCTGGTCCCCAGGTGGGGAGGCGGGGCTGAGGCTGCTGGGGGGCCCCAGCTGGGCTTGGCCGACCGTCCTGCCTGGGTCCTGGCAGGTGGCGGCCGAGTATGAGCAGGTGCATCGGGCCATGGCCCAGCCGCCGGTCCGAGACTACGTGCCCTTCGCCTGGACCACGCTGGTGATCGTCAAGGCCGAGCACTTCCGCGCCCTGGCCCACTTCCACGCGGCCACGGCCCTCTGCGGCGGCCCGCGTGAGAGCCCACCCCACCAGCGCTGCGTGCGGGGGAGGCGGGGCTGTGCGTGCGGAGAGGGAGGCTGGCTGTGCGCGGAGGGAGGCCTCAGTGCGGGGGCTCATGGCCCTCTCTGCCCCCAGCGGCCGAGGAGCTCCTGGTGCGGGAGCGGGAGGTCTTCCTGGAGCCCCAGGCCCCCCCTGAGCCCCAGCGCCCCGCACTGGCACCGCCGCAGGAGCCCGAGGAGCGCAGGAAGCTGGGTGAGGCGGCTGTGGGAGAGTGCGGGGCCCTGTCGGGGGCGAATGATCCCCGGGGGCCACCCCACCCTACCCTTCACAGGTCACTCCTTCTGGCCACGCCTGGTACCCCAAAGCTGACGGGTGGGGTAGCCAACCTGCCTCCTGGATGCCCCCCACCGCCCACTGGTGGGTGATCCCGGGGCAGGAGGGGGCACACGTGGGAGGCTTTTCCGGGCCCAGCGTTCACCCCGGCAGCTCCCCTGTCCCATCCGGGCGGGAGCGGGGGCTGGGGCGCAGGGCGGCTGTGCAATGTGCGCTGTCCCCGCGTCTGTGCAGGCAAGGCCCACCTGAGGCGCGCCATCCTGGGGCAGGAGGCGGCGCTGAGGCTGCACGCCGTGGGCCGCGCCCTGCGCCGCGTGGACCCGCTGCAGGCGGTGCTGGCCCAGGCGCTGCGGCGCTCGCTGGCCAAGTACTCGGAGCTGGACCTGGAGGACGACTTCTTCGAGGCCCCGGAGGCCCCCGACATCCAGCGTGAGCAGCCGCGTGGGTGGGTGTGTCCTGGGCGTGGGGGCGGGGCCCTGCGGCCTTTGGGGCGAATGCATCACCGTTCACGCCCACAGCGGAGCCCGAGAAGCGGGGTGCTGGAGGCCACCCACGCTGCCGCCCCTGACTCCCCCAAGGGGGCTGCCCTGGGAGACAGACACCCCCAGGCCCCTGCCGGCTCCTCCGGGGTTACCTGGGCGGGAACCACCGCGGGCTCCTCGCACCAGTGGGGGTGCGGCCCGGCCCGGATGTCGGAGAGGGACGCGTGTCGCCCGCTCTGGCTGAGCCGCACCCAGCCGTGTCCCCGTCCCGTGAGCCGTGGGCTGAGCCCGCCCTCCCTTCCCGTCGCCCTTTCAGCCAGAACGTCCCAGAGGCCGGAGGTCCGCGCCCCCAGCTTCTCGCAGGTGAAGGTGGCCGACATCTTCCACCGGCTGGTGAGCGCCTTCCCGCCTCCGCTGCCCGCGAGGCCCCGAGGGGCCCGGCCTGCGGCGCCCCCTGGTGTCGGCCCCCGGATGTGCCGCTCGGTGGGGGCCGCAGGCCAGGCCGCTGACCTGGGGGGCCCCCAGGGGCCCCTGTCTGTGTTCTCAGCCAAGAACCGCTGGCGGCTGGGGGGCCCCGTGCACGTGACCCGAGGGGAGGGCGGCTTCGGCTTCACGCTGCGGGGAGACGCGCCCGTGCTCATCGCCGCCGTGGTCCCCGGGGGCCAGGCCGCGGTAAGGCCGGGAGGACGGCGGGTGGGGGCGGCGGCGTCTGGTGGGGCTCGGACCGCAATGCCCTGCCCCGCAGGCGGCCGGCCTCCAGGAGGGCGACTACATCGTGTCGGTGGACGGGCAGCCGTGCCGGTGGTGGAAGCACGCGGAGGTGGTGGCCCGGCTGAAGGGCGTGGGCGACGCGGGCGTGAGCCTGCAGGTGGCGACCCTGCTGCCCGCCGAGCCCGGCACGGTGAGCCCCGCCCTCACGGGGGCTCCACCCGCAGCTGCAGGAGGCCCAGCCGCCCTGGGGGACCCCGCTGCGGGGCTGCCCTCGGGAACCCCCAACGCGCCCCACACCCCCCCTCGGGTGGCCCCGCCGGTGCTGACCGCTGTGCATTCCCCGACGCAGGGGGACCGCCGGCCGCTGCGGGGGCTGCTGAGGAGCCAGGAGCGCGGCTGGGAGCCTGCGCCCGCGAGAGCCAGCCCCAGGCCCCTGCTCGGCTGGAGCCGCAAGGCCAAGAGGGGCAAGACTGGGGGGCGGCCGTCCCCAGACCCCCGGCCCTGAGCTGCTCCGCCGCACCCCTGGTCGCCCAAGGAGACGTGAGGGGCGGCTCCCCACAGGGGGGCCCAGCCTGGCCTGCAGCTGGCTGGGGGCGGGGACCCCGTCGTGTCCTCCCCCAGCCCCGGAGGACCTTCAAGCCAGTTGCCGTCCGGCCCAGTGCCCACTGCCCATTAAAGACAGTGTCGGATGAGGCGTGTCCGCCCAGTGCGGGGCCGGGCCCTGCACCCCCACTCACCTGGGGCCCCAGGAGGGCCGCTCCCAGGTGGGGTGGGGGTCTAGCCGCTCCTCTTTGAGCCGAAGGAGCGGGGCGGGGGGTCAGCTTTGGGTCCCTGCAGCTGGGTCCTCTCCCCCGTGGTGGCTTCCCAGGGCCCCTCAGCTGGCCTGTCCCCCTCCTGCCCCCACCCTGCCCACACCCCCCTCAGGGCGGGGTTCACCCTGAGCCCAGCTTCTGCCTGGCCCAGGACACCTGCCAGGCAGCCCTCCTCCGCCTTCCAGGCACCCGCAGCCAAGGCCCGGCTCAGCCCCTGCCCGGCCTCCAGGCCTCCATCTCGCCCTGCCCGGCCTCCACACAGCACCCCCAGCGGCCTGGGGGGCCTTCCCTCTGGGCGGGTCCCAGCCACGACCCCCCTGCAACACCTGCCATGTCCCCTCTGTGCACAGGGGCCCTCCCCCCTCTCTTCTCGGCCCCTCCTCCTCACGCGCTCCCTTTGGCGTCAGAGCCTGGATCTCATACAGCCCCTCCCAGCCGCCCCGCGCCCCTCGGCCTGGCCCCGCCCTGAAGCCCTGCCTGGGCCCCGGCTGCTGGCCCACCTGGAACCTGCCCTGAGGCTTCCTCACCCTCGGGCTCGGACCCAGCACCGATGACCCCGCCTGCCCGGCCCTCGGCTCCGTGCCCACCCCTCCCCGTGGCGCTGGCTGGGCTCAGACTGAGTCCTCCGTGTCCCCAAGCTGCGTGCGCACAGGGAGGCGGACCTGGTTCAGTGGTTGAGAGGTGAGGGCCTCCGTGGTGAGGGCGGCGGGGAGCTCTGGGCCTCCGTCCCATCCCGGGGGAGACGGCAGTGAGGGGGGCCGGCTGAGGATGGAGGGGCTCAGCCTGGGCCTGGAGGGCGGTGCGTCCAGGCGGGCGGCTCAGCTGCTGGGGCGCCCTCGGGGCAGCAGAGGTTGCCGGTTTGACTCCCAGGGCGCACACCTCGGCCGTGGGTGGATCCCTGGTTGGGGCACCTGCCGGCCAACCCAGCTCCTCACACTGGCGTTTCCCTCTCTTCCTCGCTCTAAAAGTCAGTTAAAAACCCACGTATCCTGGGGTGAGGCTTTAAAACGGGGGGAGGGGGAGAGGGCCTGGAGACACCTGGAGGGGCGCCGCCTGCGGGCAGATTGGGGTCGGGGCCGGTTGGTCAGGGATCCCTGTGGCCACCAGGGGGCAGCCGTCGCCCGATGCTGCGGCGCGGATGCGGGATCTCCGGCCGGGGCGGGGCGGGCGCGGAGGACCCCCTGCCGGCCAGGCCGCCTCCCCCGCCCCCGCCCCCGCCCCCTCCCCCCTGCTCCCTGGAGGTCCCCAAACAGCAGCAGCCCGCGCCCACACCTCCCTCCCGCTTTGGCGCTGCAGTCGGGGGGGGGGGGGCGGGGGGGTGCGGCCAGGGTGCCGGTGTGTTTCCCGCGACCCACCTGCCTCCCGGGGAGAACCGGCCAAGGTCACCTCCGCACGAAGTAACTTGATTAACAAAACCGCGTCCGGGAGGGGAGGCCGTTACCTGCTAATCGGGGGGCAGGCTGCAGGTCCGGCGGAGAGCGCGGCGACCCCTCCTGCGAGCGCTCCGCTGGGGTCCCGAGCCCCGCCTGCCCCTTGCGACCAGGGAGGGCCCCCCAAAGGTGGCACCCCGCTCTCCCAGACTCCCTCAGCCCCTCCCCTGCCCCGCACACCGGCCTCTCTCCAGGGTCCTTGCCAGGAGGCCTAGGGATGAGGTCCAGGGCACCGCTGGGCCTGGCTGGACCCACAGCTTCACCCCAGGGCCAGTCATTTCCTGCACCCCCACCCGGGGAGCAATGCTGCGCCCCCAAAACCAGGACTTGGAGGAGAGGGCGGCAGCCTTGCGCTGGGTGCCGCCTGCCAGGGGCTCAGGGTCGCTCAGCGCCCGGGTGGGGCCGTCCAGCCCGGGCGAGGGACCAGGTCTTTTCCGAGTGGCGGGGCCGCCGGCTCATGGGTGTGCACACGTGTGGGTGCGCGTGTGGAGATGGGGGTGCACTCCGCCGCGCTAGGGAGTCAGGCGTCTGCCCCACACCCCGAGCTCCAGCCCGGCTCCTGCCCCCCTCGCTCTCTGCCCGCCTTGGTTCCCCGGACGCGGCCGCCTCCCGTCGGGCTCAGCCTCCCTTTTCCGGTCCATCCGCGTGTCCCTGTCCCGGCCGCGCTGTGGGCCATGGGCCGGGCCCACACCGGCTCCACGCGTGAGCCTTGCGCGGAGGCGGCAGCAGGACAGCGCCGGCTCCCGGGGCCCAGTGCGGGGAGGGGGAGGCGGGGCGGGGGAGCAGGGCTGCTCGCAGGCAGGTGGGGGTCCCGGGGCGCGCCCTGAGCGGGCGGAGCGGAGGCCCCAGAGGGGCTCGCTGCGCAGCGGAGTCGGGGCGAGCCGCTCTGCTTTGCCAACAGAAAGCCGCGCAGGGGAAGGGCCGGCTCCGTTTCGCTTGGGTCAGCAGCGAGCCTGGCGCAGAGATTGATGCGCAGAGGCCTGGGGAGGGGAGCCGAGCAGGCCCAGGAGCCAGAGGGCGGCCTGTGCAGCGCGAAGGGGGGCGCCGGAGCCGGTCCCTTCCCGGCCTCAACCCTGGTCCCCGTCTCCTCCCCTGCTGCCCAGCCCGGGTCCCTCCAACCTCAGCGGCCTGTCTACCCTCCGTGCCCCTGGCTGAACCCACAGGAGACGGCACTGGGGTCCCACGGCCAGGCTGAGGGGGTGAGACGCCCCAAAGCTGCACAGCCACCTGAGGGCCAGCCAGGGGGACCCCCAGGCCCTGGGGACCCAGAGGTGGGGCGCCTAGAAGGGCATGGGAGGCCCTGCTGGGGAGCCGGCCAGGGTGAAGCCAGAGAGGCTTCAGGGGCCTCAGTCCTGGAGCCCCAGGCAGGGGTGCTGCTGCGCTGGCCCGGACTGCATGGGGTCAATGGGGGCCCCAGAGATTTGGCCACCGGAACCCGAGACTGTCCTTGTTTGGAAAAAGGGTCTTTAGCCCCCGCGGGGCTCAGGGGTTGAGCGTCGACCTATGACCCAGGAGGTCACGGTTCGATTCCCGGTCGGGGCACAGGCCGGGGTTTGGGCTCCATCCCCAGTGGGGGCCGTGCAGGAGGCAGCCGATCACTGATTCTCTCTCATCATTGATGTTTCTCTCTCCCTCTCCCTTCCTCTCTGACATCAATAAAAATATATTTCATAAAGAAAGAAAAAGGGCTTTTGCACACGTCATTAAGAACCGGGGTGAGGTCCTCCCGGACACCCCGCAGGCCCTGAGCCCGCCGACACCCATCGGTAGGAGACAGGACGGGGCGGGGCCTTGGGAAGGCCAGGTGGTTGGAGCCGAGCCCCCGCTGGGTGCCGGGTGCCGAGGCCGGGAGGGAGGCAGGGGAGGTCATGGGCTGGAACAGCTGCAGGAAACCAGCCTCCCACGCGTCCCCTGCGTCTGGCCTCAGTGTGCCCTTCTGTAGGATGGACAAACCGGGCAGGACCTCGGGGCTGGAGGAGCGGTGGGCTCAGCCCGGCGGCCGGGAGAGGCACCCCCTGTGAAGGCTGCCACCCCGCGGCTCTGAGGCACCTGCTGGGCCGCCCGGAGCCACCGTGGCCTGAGCGCCCGGATTTTGGGGTTGTCTGGCCAGAGGCCGACCCCACCTGCCCCTCTGCCCCCACCCCCATCCCAGAGCCTCTGGGGGGGGGGTGGCATCGTTTGGGCTGGCGGGGGGCAGTCTGGGAGGAGATTCCAGGAGAAATGCCAGAACCAGAACCGGACAGACGGACAGACGGCTGAGCCCTGTCCAGGGAGCAGAGGCTCAGCTGCAGGGGGGAGGGGAGGAGCTGGAGGAAGGGGAGGGGAGGAGGCAGAGAAAGGGGTCAGTGTGTCCCCCCCACCCCCAGGGCCATCCCTTCTGAGAGGTGAGGGCTGGCTCTGGGCCTGAGGCCTCTGGAGGATGGGGTGGGCGTGGGGCCCAGGGGGTCAGGGCCCTGCTGGTCAGGGTGCGGGGAAACCCTCGCACCCAGGGCCCTGAGCTGGGGCAGGAGCTGGCCCAGAGGCCTGGGCAGCTGGCACTGGAGTGGGGTCTCCCTTGTCTCCAGCTGCCTCGGCCCTGGAGACTGGGCTGTGCTCTCAGGGTCCCGGCAGTGCCCCCCCCCCCCCGCCCCGGCCTGGCCTAATGTGGGTTTACCTGAAGGGACTGCCAGCCCCCTCCCGCCCCCTCCTGCCAGGGGGTGAGCCAGACGTGCATTAAGGCCGGAGTGACTTATCGAGCTGTCAGGGGGAGCGTTTTAAGACAGAATTATAGGGGAGAGGAAAAAGATTTTTACCAAATTAATGAAAAATCAATCTGGCTTCAAAAATCCATTAGCCTTCATAACGCGGCGGCTACAGGCCGAGCCCGCCCCCTCGGCCATTCATTACCCACGGTGTTTACATCTGAGACTGACACCTGCCGCCCACCCCCACCCCAGACCCAGAGGCCCCAGCCCGGGGCTCCCCCCACCCCCAGACCAGCGCCCGGGAGAGGGTGAGGCTGGGCAGACGGAAGGGGGGCTGCTGGTGGTGGTGTCCAGCAGCTCGGGCAGGGGGGCTGGTGTGGTGGGGGCCGCGGGTCCGTGCTGCTGGCAGTGGAGGCAGGAGGGTCCGTGTGGGTGACGAGGGAGGCTGTGGTCACAGGTCACTGTGGTGACAGCCTGTGGCCTGCCCGCCCTCCCTCCCGCCCGATGGGCAGCCCCTGGGGAGGTCGTGGAGGCCCTTCGCTGTCCCACTGTCCCAGGCCACACCAGCGGGTGAGCCAGAGGGACAGGCAGGACGGCCGGGGAGTCTCCCTCCCCCTCGGGGCAGAGGCGGCCGGAGGGGGGGGGAGGGAGTGGCTGGCGGATGGCGAGTCTCTCTTCCTCCCTCGGCGTCCTGGGCTGGCAGCTGCGTCCCAGCAGCCCCTCTCCCTGTTCCCTGTGACCCTCCTGTCCCGTCCACACCAGCTCCCCGAGGGGCATCCTCTGGCCTGGACTCTGGCAGCCCCTCTCCTGGGTCCATGCCTCCCCTGCCTGTTCCCTGGCCCCAACCCCCCTGCGCCCTGGGCCCCGCCCCACCCCACCCAACAGCCCTTGACAAGTGGGTCCTTCCGGAAGCAGTCGCTCCAAAGGTGCCGCCTCCTGAGTTCTCTTGAATGTCTTTTCACCTCATTTGTTCATTCGTTCATTCATTCACCGCTCTTCTCCAGAGCCCCCCCTATCCCCAGGAGTGCGTGGGCTGCTGGGGGCCGGCAGGCGGGGGCAGGAGGCTGGGCTGGGAGGGAGCCCAGGAGTGGGCTGGGGGCAGGTGCCGTGGGGGCCTGGGGGCGCCCAGGGTGTAGGTGCTTGGAGTCCCAGGCCCTGGGGGGCAGGCAGAGCCCAGGGGGCCTGGAGAAGTGGGGGGCCTGCAGGCCCGGCCGGCTCACCCTCCCCTAGGGCTTGCTGCAGGCGGCAGCGTGGGGAGCCCTGGCCCTGGGAGGGAGCCACAGCCCCCAGATGGGCAGCTTCCCCGAGGCCATGAGTAGGGGCAAGGGGGTCCGGGCCAGCAGGACGGCCCCCTCAGGGGCTCGGGGCCTGGTTCCAGCCGCCCACCCCTCACCCAGTCCCACGGAGCCAGACAGTCGCGCTGCAGGCTGTGGTCTCGCAGATCAAACCCCACTTCATTAGCGGTGCGGCTGGGGCAGGGGTGGGGTGGGCAGGGCCCAGGCGCAGGCCGTCTGCGGTTCTCGGGGTGGCCGGGCCGCCTGGCTCCAGAGGCACCCAGACCCACTGAGCGCCGGTTTCCAATCATCGATCGGGTGTGCGACGCGCCAGTCGCACAGGCAGGCAGAGCGCGGGCAGCACAGGCGACCCGGGGCTGGCCCTGCCTCTGGGGGGGAGGATGCCCGGGTTGGGGGCCTTCCTCTCCTGGGGCCCCACTCGGCCGCTCTGGCGCCTCGGGCCCTGCTTCCCCTCCCCCTCCGCCTGTGTCTCACCTGCCTGGGTCCCAGGAGGCCTCCCCTCCCTGCCGCCCGTCTCAGGGCAGGCGTCCTCCTCCTGTCACAGTCCCCTCCCGTCCTGGTCCCTTTGGGAGCACCTGTCTCTTCTCAGTGTCTGTGCCCCCCGCACCCTCAGGAGGGAATTGGCAGCGTGCCCACCGGGTGCAGAGCTCAGCCCCGGACTGGGTGCGGGTCCCCGCCCGGCAGGAGCAGAGCCAGGGGTGCAGGCCAGGCCTGAGCTCTGCCCCGGGGACTGTGCCAGGGCAGCGTCAGGGGCCCAGGCCCTCAGGGTGGGCCGAGCAGAG